AGATTGTTTTTTAAATTTTTTTCCTTTTTCTCCCCAAAGCCCCCCGGTACATAGTTGTATATTCTTCGTTGTGGGTCCTTCTAGTTGTGGCATGTGGGACGCTGCCTCAGCGTGGCTTGATGAGCAGTGCCATGTCCGCGCCCAGGATTCGAACCAACGAAGCACTGGGCCGCCTGCAGCGGAGCGCGCGAACTTAACCACTCGGCCACGGGGCCAGCCCCAGATTTTCCATTTCTAGAAGCTCATTATTGGAATAGAAAAGAATGATTGATTATTCCATACCCTTCTTTCTTGCCAATCTCCAGAGGATTTTATTGGCGCCGGTAGTTTTTACTAGACTCTTAGATGGTCCGGACGTCCGAGCACGTCATCCTGAGCAAGAGCCGGCTTTGCCATTCTCCCTTCTCAGCGTTTATGCCAACTGTCTCACGTTCATCTATATTCATAAGTGGGAGGGCTGCCTTCTCTTTCTGTACCATCTGTTATCAGCCGGGGGGGTCCCGCCTTTCCCTCTGGGATGGAATAGTCAGTACTCAGGACTGTCTGTTCTCTAAAGGCAGGCAGAGCTCTGCTCCCCTGCGTCTCCCAGCGCCTCTGCTCACCGCCTGGTCTGGGTCCCGCAGGACAATCCAGCAGCTCCCCACCGGCTCCTGGCCCGTCCTCCGCTCGTCAGTGGAGGTTTTGATGACTGTTTCCTGCCGGCCTGGAGCCAGGGGTCCTGTGGGACAGGCCAGGCCCTTCAGCTGATGGCTCCTCTCAGCCTGGGGTGCAAGTGTGAGCCCCAACTTGTAGGCCTGGGGGCTGAGAAGGAAAAGCCCAGAACCCACTGTCCTGGGGGCCCCCAGAGGAGCCAAGTCAGCTCTCCTGCCGAGCGTGCTGTCACCATCAGGGTCATGGAGACTTCCCCGGCCCAGCCCACCTGTAAGGGGAGGCGATGTACGACGTCCACGTAGGCCAGGGCTTCGCAGGGCCCTGAGGTGCTCAATCCTGGAAGTGTCCCTCCCTCCTGGCCAGAGTGGAGCCCCCTTGCTCCACCCAGGGCCCCTGGGCCCCTGATTCCCGCCCCCCCCCTGCCAGCCGGGGGCTCCCTCTTCCCGGCATCTGCACCCTCTCCACTGACACCCTTCACCGCAGGCTCCCCATCCTGAGAAACAAATGCAGCCAGTCCCCCCAACCGCTAACCCCAGGGAGAAGCTCTGCCCAGGTCAGGGGCTGCTCCGCGATCAGCAGAGCTGCACTGCTGGGATCCCAGAAAACCCCTTCTCTCCCGGGCACCCAGCTGCTGGAAAGGAAGAACACGCTGGCTTTGAGACTAGAGTCCCGGCCATGGACTCGGGAACTAGAAGAAAAGAAGCTGGCGCTGCTCTGCGGAAATGCGGTTTTGCGACGCTTCTTGTAGGAAAAGAGAGCGCACCCTTAGAAACCATCTCATCTGTCCCCACTGGCCTGGGGGCAGTTTCCCGGCTCCTCGCCCCCATGCATCCCATCTCCCAGCTCCCCTCTGCCCTGGGCTTCTAGCCCTGCAGCCGCCAGGCGGGGCTGCTTCTGCCCAGCCAGGCTACCCTTCCTGTGCCCGGTCGGCACCTGGTATGTGGCACCAAGTGACGGCCTCCATCCCACAGGCTCCATGCCACCGGACAAGGCCACATTTGGTCTTCCTGATGGCAGGGTGAGGAAACTGAGTCACAGAGCCGCCATGTGACTTGCTTCAAATCACCAGCTAGTGGGGTGGGGCTGGAGTGCCCCTTCACCCTCTCCTCTGCGACAGCAGGGCTTCTGTCTGCACAGCGTCACCCACCCATCCCTCCCTCTTTTCCGGGGGCAGCTGTCTCCGGGATGCCTCTCTACGCCCAGACTCACTCACCTCCAGGAGGCCTTTCCGGCAGCGAGTTTGTCCAGGGAAAGGGCGTCTGTTCTTCCTAGTTTGGGAACCAACTCAGAGCAGAGTGGGCGCAGAGGGGACGTTCCCTTGTGTCTGGAGCCCGCCTGGGAAGGCGGAGGGGCTGACCCACCCTCAGTGGAGGCAAGGACCTTGGTGGAGGGTGCGCTCTGCCCACTAGCTTCTTCCCCTCCACACCCAGCCACGCCCACATGTGGCAAATGCATGACAGCGGGGCACATCCAGGGCCTGCAGGAGCAAACAGCCGGGGCAGACTGAGGAGTGGGAGTCAACAATGTCTCCTGGGGGAACAGACAGTTAAGCCAGGGCCAGAGGGCGTGTGGGACACAGCCCTTGAAGGGAGGGAAGGGCGGTGGAACGGCATGTGCAAAAGCTCAGAGTCGGGAGAGTGGTGGCCTGGAGCTTCAAGACAGGCAATGAGGCCAGTGGTGAGGGACCAGGTCGGGTGGTCTCCTACCCGGCTCAGGTACGCCCCTTGACCCCGTGGGCCACGGGGAGCCAGTCTGTGTTTTGGGGCGGCCAATCTCTGCTGGGCAGAGATGGGAGCCAGAGCACAGGGTGGGGATGAGGGGCGAAGGAGGCCAGGCCCCTGCCATCGGCTGCCCCAGTGTCCCAGGATCTGGAGGAATAAGCTCCCGTCCTCTGTCCCCTCCTGTCCAGACGAGGGGAGGCAGTGGGGTGTTCTGGAGAAAGCAGGGCTCCTCCTTCTCCAACCAGCACCCCCCCGGAGCCCCCCGAGTCAGGCCTGCCCAGACCCTCCTATTCTCACTGTGCCTGTGGCCCCACGGGCCCAGCACCCCTCACCCCCAGAGTGAGGACTCCCACACGGTGGGGACACTGCACGTCTGCAGGGTGTCCCAGAGGCAGGCCTTGAGACCAGAAAGGGGGTGAGTGAGGTGTGGACAGAAGGCAGCCATGGTGGGCGGCCAGAGTCTCATCTCCAGGGGAATTCGGGGAGAGAGCTGGGAGCTGCCCCTCCAGGGAGCAAGGGCGCGGTCCAGATGCAGTGGCTCCTTCTGGGCCGGCTGAGGGCTGTCCTTGGGCTGATCAGCTATTGAGCCTTGTCTATCAAGCTCTCCATTTCAGTTATTTTATTTCTAATTCTGGAATTTCCATCTGATAGTTTTTTTCATCGATTCCAGGTCCCTTTATTTCATGAATGTTTTAATCATAATTATTTAAAAATCCATGTCTGATAGCACCCATATCTGGATCATTTGTGAGTCTGTTTCTTTTAATTTTTTCTTGTTTTTTCCTTTCTTTCTTTTTTTTTTTTGGTCTTTTTTTCCTGTCTCCTGCCATGCCTGGTGATTTTTTTTTTTTTTTTTTGGTGAGGAAGATTGGCCCTGAGCTAACATCTGTGCCAATCCTCCTCTATTTTATGTGGGATGCTGCCACAGTGCGGCTTGATAAGTCGTGTGTAGGTCTGTGCCCAGGATCCAAACCTGCAAACCCTGGGCTGCCAAAGTGGAGTGTGCAAACCTAACCACTACACCACCGGGCTGGCCCTGGCGCCTGGTGATTTTTGAGGGCGTGTTGGACATTGTGTATGCAAAACTGTCCAGGGTGGGGACGATGTGTATTTCTGGTTTGCTGGAGAGTCACATCCAGGGGCCTCATTTCCAAGGTGCCTTCTCTTTGATGCCAGAACTGACTTCTCTCTCGAACATCATTCTGCTTAGATTTTTAGGCTTTTAGCTGCCACTTTCTGCTTGGCTTTTTACCCCAAACAGCTTAGAAATGGGCCAACACCTTAAGAAAAGAGGCACCGAAGGTTGGGTGGCAACTCCCAGCACCAACATTTGTCTCCCCAGGCCCAAGAGACCGTTGACGAGAGCTTAGAGCTGCCAGCACCAGCCACACATTAGCAAACGCCCCGAGGAGGAAGCCGGCTGAGAAGGCCGGGCCGCCTCAGTGCGATTCCCTCTGGGCAGGGGCTCAAGTCCTGGCTGCCTCGGTTGCTCCCTGATGCCTCCCAACAGCCGTGTGTTTTTAAGTCTGGCCTTTAGAGTTGCTTGTGGTGCAAAGTTTTGTCTGCTATTTGCTGCTCATCACAGGCAGAGGCAGAAGGTTTTCTTTAATCTTACTTCGGGTGAATAGAGTTTAATCATTATTATTAAAAAGTAAATGGTCTAATAACCTACAATGAGTGCTGTAGATTTGCTTGGCAAATATAATCTACTGCATGATTTAATTGATGTAAAAATTATTTAAATTGTATATGTATGTGTTTTAAATTTTGTAACAGAATAATGAGAGATAAGGTGGCATCTATTTTACCAAGAACCGTGTTAAGAAAGAAAACATATAGAGATAGAGTATTCATTTTTCTTTTCTTCTCCTCCTCATAAAATTTCACCCGAGAGAGAGCAAGACCCTTACCCAGGCCTGTCTGACCCCCCACCGGCGTGTGGTTCCCGGGTGGGAAACTTACACTAAGCGCAGCCTGAATCTCACTCCAGAATGGTCTGAAAACCGGGGTTTCCCTGCAGCAAAGGGAAGCAGCCTGCCGGCCACCCGGGACGCCTTGTTCTGACACCGGGGCCTGCCCGCCCCCAGGAGGCGGCAGCTCCTTGTCTTTACTTGGAGGAATTCCCATCTCCGCCTGATTTGATTCGGGTCCAGTTTGAGACCATAAGAGCCTGCTACGTTTCGCTTAATGCTTCCCTATTTGAGCCACAGAACTGACACCAAAGAATGTCAACAAAAATCCCCGCCATACCAGAACTCAGGAAAGCTCTACTGCTCACACAGTTCGCAAACCGGGGCGCCTACTTCCGTTTGCTCCCGAGGGCTGCGTCTCCCGGGTTTGTAAACCATACAAGCAATAAAGCTTTCCTAACCTAATTCCCATATTCCAGAGATTTTTGTTGACAAGCCACAGAACCGGGAGAAACCAATCTGCACAGCGCACACGTTTGGTGCGCAGCGGACACTGAAGGGCACCGTGACACGTGCTGAAATTGCAAGGCGAGATGCTGGCTTGGAACGGGAGCAGGCGCGGCCGGCGGTGCCGCCTGGACAGGGACGAGCAGGCGCTGGGCTCCAGGCTGGTGTGTGCGGGGATCGAAGGACGGTTGTGCCTAACAACACCTGTAAATGTTGTAACACATTTAAAAAAACATGCTGACTTTTATTAAAGGTCTAATGCTATTCAAAGAGCATATGTGCATGAGTTAAAACACACAAAGGAAATAAGTGTGAAGTGTCAAAAAATACAAAATCAATCCGAGACATGAAACAAAAACTTCCATTCTGTGACTCAAAATCGAAAGGCACTTTGCTTCACAAAAAGTGGTCTTTTGACGAATGCGGAAGCCTTCAGTTCCCAGGGCCGGGGGACTCTCCCGCCAGTCTTCATTCGAAGCTCCACTGCCGGCTTGCTGACTACAGAAGGGACCAGAACATCACCCCACGGCCCCAGCAGGTGACCACACGTATGTGCACACGGTGCCACATCTGTGGGCAGCAAATGAGTCAGTTTTTCACTAGCCATTCGACAAAGTCACCCACGGGTGTCACAGCGTCAACTTTCACTGGGGGGACCTCGTCTCCAGGCCCGGCTTTCCTCCGGTGACTCATGTGTGAGCCAAGTCGTCCCCACAGTGCCAGGGCTGGCTTTGCACGGTCCCGCTTCCCAGGCAGGAGGAGAATCCAAGTGACCACGAGGAAGGCCACCCACTGGACAAGTGCCGCCATCACTCAGGCACCCCGACCTGTCGGGAGTCTGCTTGCTTCCTGAGAGAGCCCTCGGAGACCCGCGGGCAGGTCTCAGTCTGGGCAGGGGTGGGTGAGAAAGGCCCCGGGAGAAGAGCTTCGGGACGGTCACTTCTGCTAATACAGTGGCAGCGATCACCACCATCACCCCGTTCCTGCCCACTGTCGGTGTGCATGCCGCCCATGCCAGGATTAACACACGACGCAGAGAACTGCCACACAAGTCCACCAAATGACGGGGTGGGGAGGCTGCCCCTCTTCCTGGCTGTGTTCTCGGTGCCTCCATCCACAGCTGCATCCATGATCCGTGGGATGTCCCCAACTCGCTGTCAGAGGGGCCGGTGCTCCAGACATCTCCCTGATGGGAGTGCCTTTCTTTGCCCGTCCTCCCACGGCCACGCTCCGGGCTGCGCAGTGCGTACGTAGGGCTGATGGAATGGACGGACGTCACAGGGAGGTTCTCGAGAGCTCGGTCCCAGCCCGTTCTGCAGGTATCCTGGCTCACGGGTCATCCTGGAGAAGCCCTCAAGGAGTTTCTTCCCAACTTCCCCCTCCCTAAAGAGAAGAGACCGCATCGTGGCGGTCGCCAGAAACAGAGGCTCAGTGCCCAGAGGTCACGCCCGGGGCGGGGCGGGGCAGGGATAACACATTTTTATTTTTAAAAATATATACATATATCACTAAAATTGACTTTTCTTTTACAGAAACATTTACCACTAATATTCTAAACAACAGTCTGGAGAAAGCTGATCTAAACACACTATGATACACAGATGTTTGGACTGCAAGTAACAGAACATTCAACCCAAAGGAGCTTAAACGACAGTGAGGGCTTTTTGCCTGTTTGACTGAATAAGAGAAAGGCGTTTATCGGCGCTGGGTCCAGGTCAGCAATGGCAGGAATCTGGACTGGTCTCTCTGCTCTGTTCCTGGTCTTCTCCTCTTGGTTGTCTGATGGCTGCTGCAGCTCCAAGCATCACATCCTCATCTGGCAAAGGCAGTGAGTGGAGGGCAGAGTGTCTTACCTCAACTCACCTCTTAAATGGGATGAACGGCATTCCCAGAAGCGCCTTTCCCCACCCGGCTGCCCACAGTAGACCTCCCCTCACATCTCCTGGGCTGAAAACTGGGCCCGGCCCCTCCCCGCCGAGATCAAGAGTGCTCCCTCTCCACTGGTGGCTGAAAGGCCCCGGTTCTGTTTGGAGGAACGAGGGGGAGAGGTGCTGGGGCAGAGCCCTCAGTGCCCCCCATGGTGGGGAGCGGAGGCAGCGAGCTGCAGAAGGTGGGCCCCGAGGAACCCTGAGCAAGGCCCCCGTGAGCAGGCAGGAGGCGACTCCCCGAGTCCTTCTCCACCCACCAGTCCATCACAGGAGCCGCAGGGTATGGGGGCGTGGGGGGGACAGTGAGCCGGACCCCGAGCGGAGACGGGCTCTGTGCTCCAGCCTGAGGGTGCCAGAGACGAGGACCAGCTTCGTGAATGGGCGGTCTCCTAGCTCGCCACTGTCCGACTCTGTGCCCCAGACAGAACACGGACCACAGCCCACGCCAGGGGCAAGGGGGCATGAATGGGGGCAGTGGGGGCATGAATGGGGGCACGACTATGGGGTGGGGGTGTGAATGTGGGGTGAGGGCATAATTAGGACAGTGAGGGGGACGAATGGGTGCATGAATGTGAAGTGGGGAATGAATGGAGGGCAGTGGGGGCATGAATGTGGGGTGGGAGCATGAATGGGGACATGAATGTTGAGTGGGGCAGGAATAGGGGACAGTGGGGGTATGAATGGGGACAGTCGGGGCATGCATGGGGGCATGAATGTGGAGTGGGGCGTGAATGTGGGGGCAGTGGGGGCCTAAATAGGCGGGCCTGAATGGGGGACATGGCCACTGCCCTCCTGCTCTTGGATTCCCTGTGTAGGGGTGACTCCTGCAAGGGGTGCAACAGACCCCATGCCCTTCAGGAGAGAGGCTCAGAGTGGGATTAGGGGTGACAGCCTGGCACCCTCGCCTCAGTGGTATTGGGACTAACGAGCATCCTGCCGTGGCCCAGCTGGTCTCAGCTGGGGCGGACCATTAAACGTGGACACAATGCAGCTCTGGCTTTGCGGAGCGGCCCTCCCGCTGTTTGGGGATAATTGTCCCAGCGGCGGGTCTCAGCCTGCGTCCAGAAGACGGCGTCTCAGACGGGCAGGCCGGCAGGCCTGGGAGCACGGCCAGGGCCCTCCACGGGCCTGAGGAGGAGCCAGGCCGGAGGGGAGGGCCCTGGCTGGGCCACTTGCCGCCTGTCCCTGTGTGCAGCCCCCGTTCCAGCTGCCCAGGCTGCAGACAAGCGCCACCGAGGACTCTCCCAGCTGGGGGCTGGCGGGGCCCGGCCTGCAGACGGCTCCTGTCCTCTGCTGGGCTGGAGACATCTGCACGGACCGGGGCAGCCACGCAGACGACACATAAAATGGGGAAGTCGTTGGTCTGCTCACAGCCCAGGCGCTAAGTGGCCTCACCTCTGGGAGGCCCAGCTCCTGGCTGCAGCTGGTCCTTGGCTGCTGGTCACCAGTAAGGGTGTGCCTGGCCCGGGCAGACAACAGAGGGGAAAGAGCCAGCCTCTGGGCACGTCTCCTCTGCCAGGGTCTGTGTCTGTCACCTTCCGGTCCTGCTGTCTGTCTACACGGAGGATTCCTTCTCCCCTAGCAGCAACCACACCCAGTTTGTAGTGCTCTGCTGGCGGCTGGAAGCTTTTAACATATTTGCAACTAGGGACTAAATGCAAAAATCCAAAGGCTGGAGGGACGGCTGGAGCCCACAGTCCCTGACCAAGGGGACAGGGCAGCCGGGCTGAGGGAGGCCCGGCTTATGCAAGTTCAGCCAGAGACCCCTCCGGAATCCTGAGGAGCCCTGGAGAGCAGCGTGTGGGTTCAGGAGGAGACTGGAGGGAACGGGGGCTGACGTTGGTCCCGGTCCCAGCCCCAAGTAAAGGCTGCCAAGTCCAGTGGGGGCTGCAGAGCCTGGGGGCTGGGGACAGGCTGGGAGGGGGCGGGGAGGCCTCTGCCCCCACAAACCCCCTGCTTTTATCTCTTCTGCTCATCCCCTGGCTCCACTCCCATCCCCCGAAGAGGGCATCTGCACACTCCACCTCAAGCCCTGGGCACCAGCTCAGGTCCCTCCTGGCCCTGAAACCATGTGTCCTTGGCCCCAAGCCCACCGGACCTGCTGGGCACTCTCTTGACTCTGCCACATTCCGCAGGGGGACCCCCGCCCCCTCCTGACTGTCTCTTCCCTAAAGAATACAGCAATTTTTGTAATCCTTAATACAGCTTCCTGGTTTAAAAAATTCAGGCTGGGGGCCGGCCTGGTGGCACAGTGGTTAAGTTCGCATGTTCCGCTTCAGCGGTCCAGGGTTTGCTGGTTGGGATCCCAGGTGCAGACATGGCACCGCTTGGCACGCCATGCTGTGGTAGGCATCCCACATATAAAGTAGAGGAAGATGGGCACGGATGTTAGCTCAGGGCCAGTCTTCCTCAGCAAAAAGAGGAGGACTGGCAGCAGTTAGCTCAGGGCTAATCTTCCTCAAAAAAAAAAAAATTCAGGCTGAACCAAGGGCAGACATGGAAACAAGGTCTCCCCTGTCGCTAGTTCCCAGGGGCAGAGGCCACCACCGTGACCAGACATGTGGAAGAGTGAGGGGGCTGTGGGCTCACTTAGAACATCGAGGCAATGGCTCTGGGTTGTGAGGTGCCGCATGGTGCCTCAGGCTGCACAGCATCCACCCTCACTCACTGGTGCCCTCAGATGGATACGCGTCCAGGTGTTTCCAGCTTTGCCTAGAGCATGTGCACGCAGGCGAACATCCCCCAGGATGGAGCCGGGCAGGGGAAAGGCTGGCTGGACCTGGGCCTTGGTTAAGTTGATGGGCACTGTCTCTCCTCCCTGAATCTCAGACTCAAACTCTGGCCAGTAACTGGGGGTGCCTGTCTCCCCACCCTGCCCTCCCGGCCCCTCTCAAAACCCGCAGTCCGTAGGTGACAATACTCTTTCTGGGCAGCCTGTGTTTACATTTCTCTGCTTATGGGTGAAGTCAAGGAGCCTTTAGCAAGCAGCGGCCCGGGTTTGCTCTTGCACACTGCGTGCAGGCCGCCTGACGGCAGTCCTTACTCACTGACGGGAGCGCCGTGGGAGCAAAGCGGCCCTTTGTCAGCCAGATGAGTTAGACACAGTTCTTCCCAGTTTGTCGCACATCCTTTGGCTTAAAAGGTTACATCTGTGCAAAATGTCACAACTTGTAATTTAATTAAATGCATCAGAAATTTTTTTTCTGGCTTCTGCTTTTGTGTCATGCGGAGGGAAGCCTTCCTCACCCTGAGCCTGTAAAGCTGCCTCCTGCGGTTTTCCGAATGCTTTCGTGGCGCAGCTTTTTTTGCCTTTATATTTCTGGTCCATATGGAATTTATTTTGGAGTGAGGAGACCAGTGTCATGTTTTTTTCCCCAGACAGCCAACTCCTTGTCCCAGTACCCTTTATTAAATAATGCCATTTTCCTCATGGATTTAAATGCCAAAGAATTCTATGTTAAAGAGTCACACAGACCTCCGATCTGTGTGTCCAGTCTACCGCCCATAACAAAATATTCCAATCGGTTCTATGACAGTCCACCCTCGGGCAGGACTACAGCCTTCTTTCTCAGAATTTTACAGGCTTGTCTTTTTTCTTTTTTTTTACTTTTTTAATTGTGATAAAATATACCTAAAATTTACCATTTTAACCATTTTTACGTGCACTGTTCAGTGGCATTAAGTACGTTTACATCATTGTATAGCCGTAACCGCCGTCCGTTTCCTGAACTTTCCCATCTTCCCACACTGACTCTGTCCCCATTAGACACTCACTCCCTGGCCCCCGGCCCCCACCATTGCGCTTTCTGTCTATGAATTTGACTGCCCTAGGGACCTCGCATGAGTGGAATCATAAAGAATTTGTCCCTTTGTGACTGGCTTATTCTACTTAGCATAATGTCTTCAAGGTTCATCCATGTTGTAGTGTGTGATAGAATTTCCTTCCTTTTTAAGGCTGCATAATAGTCCATCGCATGGATTGTTTGCTTGTCCATTCATCTAACAATGGACATCTGGGTTGTTGCCAGCTTTCGGCTACTGTGAATAACGCTGCTATGAACACAGGTGTACAATATCTATGGACGTCCTTGCTGTCAATTATTTTGGGCATATACTCAGAAGTGGGATTGCTGGACCATATGGTAATTCTATTTTTGAGGAACCACTATCCTGTTTTCCATAGTAGCTGCACCGTTTACACGCCCAACACGGGGTTCCAATTTCTCCACACCCTTGCCAACACTTACTATTTTCTTTTTTTGGATTTTTTTTGATAGTAGCCATCCCAGTGGGTGTGAGGTGTTACCTCACCGAGGGTGTGATTTGCATTTCCCCGTGACAAACGATGCTGAGCATCTTTCCATGTGCTGTTTGTTGGTCACTGGTGCATTTTCTTTGGAGACATGTCCGTTCAAGTCTTTTTGGGTTCTTTATTCTTGAACCTTTATTTTCCTCATGGACTTCAGAATTGGTTCCTACGGTTATAGAAAAACATCCTGCAGCTACTTTTACTGGGTTGCATTCAATGTATGGATCAATTTGGGGGGACTGTGGCCACACCCCTCCTTGGTTTTCCTTTCCCAGTCTCCTCTGCCCCCTCCCTGTGGTTCTAAGCATCACCACACACGACCATGCCAACAGCTGTTCCCCAGCTCTGTCCTGAACTCCCCAATGCTACCCTACAGCTCACCAGAGTGTCCTCAGGTCTCTCCATGACACTGGATCAAATTTAACTGCTGACCCTACACAACCGCCCTCCTGGCCTGTTCACCTGTTTCCCAGTGGCAGCAGTGGCTCAGGTGACCACTGGGCACCATCCTTGTCTCCCCGCTCCCTCACCTTGGAGGAAGTCAGGGTCCTGGCAGGAGAAAGAGGCAAAGAGAGAAAAGGACTTTTATGAAGGGCCATTTACCAAAGTGGCAACAATGGGTGGGTCGAACCAGAGGGTGGTAAGGGTCCTGGGTAGGGGCTGGTCCTAGAGCCCTGAGAGGGTAGGAAAGTTCACAGGGAGAGGACAGGTCTTCGCCCAGCAGGAAGGGAGCTGGGGAAATTCCCCAACCTCTGGGCAGGAGGCCAGACTCACCAGGAAGCCAGCGGTGGGTGGGGGATGGGGCTGTCTGTCCGGGAGCACTGGGAGGGTGGAAAGGGAGGAGGGCAGGTCTGGGCAGCAAACTGCGAATACCCAGCCCACCCCCTTCCCTACCCTCTGCCCCAACCTCTTCTAGCTCAGGGCCTCTGGGTGGACATCTGACCATCCCCACCCCCAGTCCTGCTCTCCCATCCACTCTGTTTGGCGCCCGGCAGCTCTCCAAAACCCTCATCTGAGCAGGTCTCAGCTGGCATCAAACCCTCCTTTGGCGCCACACTGTCCTTAGGATGAAGTCCGAGCTCCTTGATCACCTGGCCACAGGTCCCGGGCCACAGGTTCCCAGCCTCCTCCCCCACTCCCACCTCAACCCCTCCACGGGTCTGCTCCCACCACGGGTCCTTCCTGGGAGCCTGCACAGTGGCGCCACCCGCTGCCTGGCATCCTCCAGGCCTCTCCTAGCCCTCCCCACTGCAGGTGGGTTTCCGCCTGCACAGCGGGTGCGAGGCTCCCTCCGTGCTCCCACCCGGGGCAGGGCCTGATGGCTGTTACGGCGTTTTGTGGAGTGCCACGGCGAAGCAGCAGCCGGCCCGGGTGCAGGGTACGGTGGGCACTGTCGCAGCGTGTGAATGCTGCCCATGCCGTGAGGCCCAGACCCCCTGGCACAGCGCCCTCCTCAAGCGCATCTCCCACGACTTGCCTCCACTTTCGCCGCTCACCTCCGCGCCTTCCTCAAGGCCCCCCCCCGCACCTGGAAGGGAGGAATGCCGGACGCTCGAGCCCTCCACCAGGCGTCTCCCACGTCGCCCCCGCCCCCAGCGTTAATCCTCCGCCTCCGGGCTCCCGGGACACCGGATACCTGTACTGCAGAGCCTGGCACGGAGCGAGCAGCCCGTGAGAACTTACCCCCGGAACAGTGAGCACCTCCGGAGCCCCCAGACCACCCCCGCCCCTCGGCAGACTCTAGCGCACAGTCGGTGTCCGCGCAGGACAGCGTCCTCGCCCCCGCCCCTCGCCCGGCCTAGAACCCCCGGCAAGGGAGCGCGGGGGCGCGGGAGGAGGGATAAGGGCCGGGCGGGCTGCGCCTCTGGGACTCACCGTACCTCCTCCACCCTCCGCCCCTCATTAGGGCGGGCGGGGCCAAAGGTTGGGGATCGGGGCGCGGCTGGAGCCTGGGCTCCCGGAGCGAGCTTAAGCGTTAACCCGCGGGCCCAGGGCCAGGACGCGGGGATGCTTTGGTCACGGGGTTCCGCCTGGTAAGGAGGGGCGGGTCCCCAAGCCGAGGCGGGGAGGGGAGGGGGTCCGGGGACGAGTGGGGAGGAGGGCGGGGCCCAGGTGGCCGACGGGTGGGCGCGCGGGGCGGGGCTGCTGCGCCACTGGGGGCGGGGGCCGCGCTCACCTGGCGCCCTGGGCCCGCCCTAACCTGGATTTCCGGGGGTCGGGGGCGGGGCTGGACCGGACCGGGGCGGGGCGGGGGCGGGGCTGGACCGGGCGGGCGGGGCGGGGCGGGGCGGGGCGGGGCGGGGCGGGGCGGGCGCCGCAGACGTCAGGGACCCGCCGCGCGAGGCCGCGGGCCGCCGCTCTGCGCGTGGGCTCGGCCGGGGCTGCCGCGAGCGTGCGGGCCGCGCCGGGCATGTCCTAGGCGGCGGCCCCGCCCAGCGCTCGGCGGGCCGGGCGGGAGGGCAGGGGCCGAGCCGGGACGAGCCGGGGCCGAGCCGCAGGTAAGACGCGCCGCCCTGTGCCCGCGGCGCCGGGGCCTCCCTCGCCCGCACCTGCGCGCCTGCGGGGACGGGGCAGGGGACAGGGGGCAGGGGCGCGGGGCCCGGCGGGACCGGACAAAGGCGCGGGGCTAGGGGGCCGCCGGCGCACCTGGCCAGGCCGGTCCCCGCCGGCTCGGAGGCGGCCGAGGTCTCCGCCAGGCCGGGAGGAGCCGCCCGGAGCGCGTCTCCGCGGCCTGGAGAGGGGGGCGCAGGCCCGGGTGCCGGGGTCCCCGCCCAGGCACCGGCTCGGCCATGGCCGCCCCCGGCGAGCGCTGATTCAGGAGAAGGCGCCGCTCCCTCCCCCTCCGGGCCCGGCGCTCCCGCCCGGCCGCCTCCCGGCCTGGTCTCTCCTCCCGCGGTCCCTCCCTCCGTCTTCCTCCTCCTCCTCCCTCTCTCCTCATTTCCCTTCGCCGCCGCCGTCGCTGCCTCCTCTCCCGGCCTCCGTTCCCTCTGCTTCCCGCGGCCGCCCGCCCGCCTCGCCTCTCCCAGCCCCTCGGCGACTCCACCTCCTCCCCTCCTCACCTCCAGCCGGGTGGCTCTTCTGGCTGGGGCGGCCGAGGGGACAAGTTTGAGGTGTTTATTATTCTCCCTCCTAGCAACGATGGCCAGCCCAGCCCCGAGCCGGCCGCAGGCTTTTTTGGAGCGTCCACAGCTCCCAGGCCTGGGCTTTTTCAGGATGGGCTGCGGTGGCAGGGGCGGCCTGGCGCCGGCACAGGCTCTGGGGACTTGGCTTCTCTTTGCCCTAAGCAGAGGCTGCGGCCTCCTCTGGGTGGGGTCTCCGTGCCTACTGCCCAGCGGGAGCTGGTGGCAGGTGATGGCAGAGTGTGCGGCGGCGCTGGGATGCGCCGGGGGCTGGATGGGGGCTGGGAAACGCAGTGACGGGGCGGGGCTCTCCGAGAGAGAGCCCTGTCATCTCCCTCAGTGCACCGCTGAGGGGTGTTCTAGCAGGCTAGGGTTGTGGGGGCCTCCGGAGGGCTGCAGGGGCATGGGAGTCCCCGCCCCCCTTGCTCCAGTGCCTGCCTCTCTGGCTGGACCCTGAGGAAGGAAGGCCAGGGGGCCTGGGGTGAGCCAGCTGGAGCTGCCTTCTCCTGGGGCGGATTTTCCCACGTCTTCCCACCTGCCTGCCGGAGGTGACATGAGGGTATGCCGTGGGATTTGTGGTCACTGGGCCTTCACGGATGGGTGGGGCTTGATGGTCCCCCCGCCCCAAGGAGCTGGGCAAAGAGCCTGGCAGCTGAGGCCTCTGGTACGGGCACTGCAGGGACAGAGCCTGGGGAACCCCCCCCCCACCAAGTGCCACACCATGTCTCTCCCTAGTTATTGTCTGCCTCCTGGCCAGCCTCCCGCCTAACCCCGCATCTGTTCTCCATACAGTCGGACATCAGCTCAGGGCCTCCAGGGCCAGCCTCACAGGCGTGTGGCCGGCACACTTGCTCAGACCCTGCTTTCCTTTGATGCTCTGCTCTCGATGTTTTGAAACTCTTGTTAATTTTTGAATAGGGCGTTGTTCGTTTTCATTTCGCACTGAGCCCCACAATGATGCAGCGTGTCCCGGGCCTCCAGGGACTCCCCTCTCACTCTAGGACAAGCCCCAGCACTCCCAGGGGCGTACGACCCCTCGTCTGTGCACTGGCTGCCCCTCTGCCTGGACCGAGGTCCCAGGTGCTCACATGCCCACCTTGCCGCTCCCAGCCTCGCTCAGATGTCACCTTTCCTGCTCGCTGCCCTCCCCTGCCCCCTTTTCTCTGAGTCTCTCGCACCTTCTCTCGGAGCCGTTTGCGGGCTTTGCCGCCTGTCCCCCCAGCTGGAGGGAAGCGCTGGGAGGTGGGGATGCTGTGTGTCTTGGTCACAGCTGTCTGTCAGAGCCCAGGAGACAGCCTGGCATGTGGCGGTGCTCAGGACACACTTTACCCAGTGTGTGTGTGTGTGTGTGTGTGTGTGTGTGTGTGTGAGCACTGTGAGTGTGTTTGCGGAGGAGGGTGGCCGGGGCACTTGTGGGTGGCTCTGGTACATGGGGAGGCTGTGTGTACACATGTGGCATGGGCGTGTCTGCACATTTGGTGCCTGTGCACCCATGCTGGTGTAATGACACAACTCTGCTTGTATGCTCTGGATGAGCAGGACACATGTGCAGAAATATGGACACTGGCTGCATGGGGGCCTGTGCTGCCCTGGGGCAGCAGGACCGAGGGCCTCAGGCTGCCCAGGGCCTGGTCTTGGGGTAACATTGGCCCTTGTCATCACTCAACTTGCCCCCACTGTGCCCCTCAAGCCACCTGTGCTCCCTGTCCATCCGGGGCACCCCAGCCCCTCTGACTCCTCCCTCACCAAGGCCCCTGGGACCTCGGGCACCAAGGCCCCACCTCCCTCCTTGGCACTGAGGGGCTACCTGATGTCCTCATCACCCAGTACTGTTCTGGTCTGGGGGTCTCTGTAGGCCGGCCACAGTGGCTACCAAGGGACATTCTGTCTCCTCTCGCTGATAGGCGTATTGATGGCTCGGGGCTCCTGTGTCCAGCGCCTCTCCCCACCCCAGCGCGGAGCCTGTCCCAGAATGTCCATCTGAGGGAGGCAGATCCTCTGGTTCAGAGTTTTTGTCCTGGGGCGGGTCTGGTGCTGTGGGCCCGGCATTGTGGGGACCTGATGGGCCACGCTGAGTCCCACCCGAGAGCTACTCCTGGTAGGTCACAGGGACATATGGGTCCACACGAAGGCAATATGGCCAGTGCCCCACGAATTCAACCCCTGGCACCTAGAAGAGAGGGAAGAGGCTTGTGTGGGGCCTAGAACATGAGGGAGGAGCAGGAGTCTTCACCAGGCAGGGGTCCACGGGGCAGACACAGTCAGGGAGGCAGGTGGCCCGATGTGGCTCAGTATGTCTAGAAGCCGCCACTGCAGTGGTGTCGTGAAGGGACTTGAACCTCAGGGGCAAGGTGTGTGCTGGGTGTACTGTGTGTCCAGGGGGCCCAGGCCCAGGCAGGGGAGCCCTGCTCTGATGACTCCTCCCCCTCCAGGGCCACACGGGCCTCGCCAGCGCCAAGATGAGTGTCACCTCCTGGTTCCTGGTGAGCAGCAGTGGCACCCGCCACCGGCTCCCCCGAGAGCTCATCTTCGTGGGGCGTGATGAGTGTGAGCTCATGCTGCAGGTGAGTGGGGGTGCCCTGGGGCTGAAGACAGGGATCAGGCTGGGGGCCGGGAAGGCACCAACCCCACTTGCTGCAGGACACCTGGTGAGGAGGCCTCGACGTGGCCCCAGGCCCCGGCATCTCCACCTGGGCCCTGGACCCACGGGTGAGCTCTAGGCCTTGGGTGGACATGCACAGCTGGGACATGTGCTCACGGGCATGGGTCCCTACCTCTGCGAGTGGGACCTTTTCCCACAAGAGGGCTCTTGGGCTTCTATCTGATTCTCAAGGTGTTGGGGGCCCATCTTTGGAAGGTGCTGGAAGGCAGATCTGTCCATACCCTTGTAGTCTAGGGGCCCCACCTGTGGCATGAGGCAGGGTAGGGAGCTGCAGGGCCAGCTTTGCCCATCAGATTGCCCAGGGGAAGGCTGATGCCCCTTTGAGGTGCCCTGAGCGGGGGACAGGGGCCTTTCTTGGGCACATGAGGCTGGCAGGGCACCGGGCGCTCGGCAGTCAGGGATTCTCTCTACCCCCGTGTCAGAGTCCACGTTTGGCCTCCAGGGGGCTCACACATCTGGCTGTTGGGGAATAAGGAGGGAGGGGTGATGGACTGACCCTGCAGGGTCCACCAGCTCGGACGTCCTTCTCCCCGCTCCTCATGGGTGGATTGAGTCGGGCTCCCTGCAGCCCCGACCCCTCCCCAGCCTGGCACATGGGCCCCTTTTCCCAAGCCCCCGAGCTCCATGTCCCCACTGTGGGACTCTCAGAAGGAACTGGTGTCCTGGGTGGGCTGCACTGCCCAGTCTGGCCAGGGGGCCCACTCGGGTGTAGGGTGAGGCCTCGCTCAGGTCCTGGTTCCCATGAGCCACCCCAGGATGCGTGGGCTTGGGCTGCAGCTGGGGGTCCCACCCATGGGCAGCAAACGATTGTTCCCAGACATCCTCTGATTTTTTGACTCTGGACCCCGCCAGGCCTTTCGTTGCCGTTGGTGGTTCGTCTCCTAAGCGCCTGTTACCTAGAACGGCCTCTCCCCTTTTTCTCTTCTCTTCGTGCCTCTGGACATTGGAGGGACTGAGTCGGTGGCTCTGTACGGGGTGGGTGCACGTTTTTGTGAAGCATTAGGTGCAGCGGGAGGCCTCGCGGGCCACACGCCTCCATCACAGCTACTCGGCTCTGCTGTTGTCGCCAGGAAGTGGCCTCAGCAGTAGTAAACACATGCGTGGCAGCGCCAGTAACACTTTATTTACAGACGCTGAAATGCCAATTTCACATCCTCTTCACGTGTCATAGAATAGTCTTTTGATTTTTTTAAAATCATTTCAAGCATAAAGACCGTTCATAGCAGTCAGTTGTCGTGGAGCGGCCGGGGTGAGGTCCAGACCTGGGCGGCTGTCTCCCGATGGTGTCATGAGACGTGACCCCAGTTCTCTCTAGATGGGAAGATCTGAAATGGTCACCACATCCGGCCCTGACCCCTGGCAGGGTTATTGTGTGCCATGCTGAGTTGGTGTGGCCTGTTGGCCCTGCCGTTCCACCCGAGGTGTCCAGGAGGGCCTCTTGGAGGAGGTGGCACTTGATGGGAGCCTGTGGGTGCTGAGGGGCAATAGATATTGGGGGCCTGCGGGTGCCCCAGCGTGGGTGCCCCTCCCGCCCCTGCCTGGCCCTGTCCCCCCACACCAGGCCTCACTCGGCTTGCTGCTTTCTCCAGGTGTCGGGGGAGAGACTGCTGGGGCGTGGTCAGGGTGCTCAGAGTGAGCTGGGGTCCTATTCCTAATTTCTGGCTAATCACTGGCGGAGCCCTGAGCAGGGTGGGAGCAACGGGGGCTCCTCAGCCCTCCGTGCTGGGCCGGCCTCTGGCCTGGGTATGCCTGCATTTCTGGCCCTTGCTGACCTGGGCTGTGTGGCCATGTCTCCATCACGTGGGGAAAGCGAGGCTTGGGGAGGTCGTGCAGGTGTGGAGTGAGTGTGGGATTGCTGTCCCCTCCCCACCCCTGCAGTCGCCCCCCACCCTCCTGCCCCCGCCCAACTGCCCCTTGCTCAGGGTGCCCCATCCTCTTGTCCTCCCAGGGGCCACGCCCTCCTGCCACCTCCTTCACCCCTCACTGTGCTAGAGCCCCCGCTAGAGAGTTCCTTCCCTCCCACCACCGCAGCCCGGCCCTGAGTCCACACTGCCATCCAGTCCCATGTCCACACCGCAGCCTGGCCCCCCCTTGTCCACACTGCTGCCACCTAGCCCTGAGTCCACACCACTGCCCAGCCTTGTGTCTACCCCACCACCGCCCTGCCCAAAGTCCATACCACTGATGCCTGGCCTCATGTCCACACTGCTGCCCAGCCCTGTGTCTCCACTGCACTTTCCTGGGATGGCAGCTCCAGGCTTCCTCCAGCCTCTCGCCTCTCCCTGTCTGCCCACTCACCTCTCTCTGGAGGTGCTGTCCACAACCGCAGCCTTGGTTTCCCCCTCTGCTCAGATGATGCAAAGGGTGTCTCCTGCCTCCTGCATTCGTCAGCCTGCTCCGGTGCCTCAGAGGCAGCCCAGACTTGGTGCCACTGAGTGAAACCTGTCATCCTCCTCCCCTTCACCAGGGTCACCATCAGGGTCCCTGCCACGCATACAGGGTCAGACCCTGACCTTCCTTCTCCCTGACCTGCGCCTCGCACATCCCTGAATGCTGTTCCCACCCCAGCGGGTGCAGGGAGAGGCACCCTGGTCCGTCGGGCCCCGCCTCTCCCCACACCTGCCCTGCCGCTCCGGGATCCACCTCGCCCCATTGCAGCCCCTCGGGCGCCGTCGCCCGCGCTGTCCTCAGCAGGCAGCTCCTTTGCACCTCTCCCTGCCCGTGCTCCCAGACCAACGGCCCCCTCTGCGGCTCCTTGAGTTCATTCCCGCGTTTGAAACTCAGTCGTTTTTGTGGGCTCCGCTGTGCCTGGCACTCAGAGAGCCATGCAGGACCCTGCCCTCCTTGGTCTCCACTCCAGGGGGGACTGGCCACAAACGTGTAAGCAGGAGCCCGATGATTCCCCAAGGAGAAACCTGAAGGAGGTGGCACTGGGGGCTGAGGGGCTGACTGCACACGGGGATGGTGTGCTGGTGTTGTGCTGAGAGCTCAGGAGGAGGGGCAGGGGCGGGGCAGAGGCGCTGGTGGGGAGGGGCCTCCATTTGCAGGGGAGAGAGAGGGGGCAGTGTGGTGAGGGGGAAACAAAGCAGCAAGGGACCATCCAGGAGGAGGCCAGGGAGCAGGGGGCCCTTGGGGAGCCTCCAGGCAGGAGGGGGCCGTGGCTTGGAGCTGGGGGCCAGAAGAGGTGGGGAGAACAGTGTTCTGGAGGCAGAGCCTGCCAGCCTGGCCAGGAGCCACCCGTGTCCCCAGTGGCCTGCGTTTGCTCACCACAGTGTCCTGGCTCCCAGTGCAAGTCTGGCACAGAGCTGGTGCCCAGCGAGCGCGTGTTAAATAACACGAATGTGAGCAGGGATGCAGCCCAGGTCTGTCTGGTGTCAGAGCTGAGACTGCCTGCTGTGGCTCCCGCTCCCGGGCGGCCCAGGTGGTCAGGTGCAGGGCCTGTGTGCATGGACACATGCAGCTGTGTATGCGCACACATGTGAGCGCACACGCATGCGCAAACGCACGTACACGTGTATGCACATGTGTGTATGTGCACAAGCACGCGTGCGGATGTGTTGCACTGTGTGTCTGTGTGTGCACGTGTGTATGCGTGCTCATAGCAAGGTGTCCTCTCTGCTCCTGCCGGCTCACCCTGTGGGAGTGTGTGACGGCCGGGATCCGTCTGCTCGCATCCTCACCCAGAAACTGTGGCCCTGAGCGAGCGAGCCCTGGGGCCCCCTGCACACACAGCAGGCTGAGCCTATCACTGTGGGCACTGTGGCGTCGCTGGGTGACGCTGGCTCTGAGCTGGCAGTAGGGTGACCCCAGAGCCCTGGGCTGTGGCACTGCTGGGATCTGCATGGCCGGGTGGGGCTTTTCCCCCCCGGAAGGTGTCAGACACGAATTTTGGAAGCTCGTGTTTATTCTGTTTTAAAGTGAGTAGGAACAGTTAGACCCTTTTCCAAAAATCTGTGTGTTTGGAGCCTCTTCGGGTTGTTTTATGTGTCTGTTCCACACCCGCTCCTCTTCTTGTGCGGTAGGCTGTTCTCCAGAGGACCTGATTCGTGTCCTTTTAAGTCTCGAGTCCTGGGCCGAGGGGCTACCTCCAGCCCTCAGAGGGGACTTCCAGCCTCTGAGCACTGGGGCTCGATGGGTTGGAGTCTGCTTCTGGCCTGGGGTATCGGGGCTGGGAAGGAGGGCTCCGGAGGTGGGGTCCTCCCTGCCATTCCCCGTGAGCCCTGTGCTCCATGCAGTCTGGGGAGGGGCTTGACGGGTGCTGTGCCTGGTGCCGGAGCCCTGGCTGGGAGCAGAGTGTTGGTCGGGGGAGTGGATGGGGCAGCCCGGGCTCTGGGTGCAAATGGAGAGCAGGGGGCTGTGCCAAGTCCAAGGAGACAGAAGGTGGGTGGGTGGGCAGGGTGGGGCTTCTCGCTGGGAGAGGGAAGGTGGGCTCAGGGAGGGTGGTGGCCCTGGGCAGAGGACCCAGGCCTAGGAGAGGGCAGAGCTCCTCCAGAGCCCGCATAGCGGTCTGGCCAGCAGGCCAGCTGGGGCGGGGTGGGGAGGGGAAGGTTTAGAGAGGCCTCCAGGGTCTGTGGCTCGTGGGACAAGCCTGGCCTTTCCTCCCCGGCTGGGAGCCCCAGGAAGTTTCAGCAGAAGAGGGACAGGCAGCGCCTGATGGGGGCTGGGAGGACAGGACAGAGGTGGGGATGGAAGCAGGTGGACGGACCGAGGGGTGCCGAGGAGGAAGGCCAGAGGGCCTTGGTGCCTGGGGGGCTGGAGAGCGTGGCTGGAGCAACTGGGGGCTTGGATGGCGGCATTCCCCAGGGAAGGCCATCAGGTCAGGCAGGCAGGGAGGAACTGGGTTTGGCCGGGCCGGGCTTGAGACGCGGAAGGTGGCCGGGGATGTGTCTGGGAGCTGGGGATCTGAGGCTCAGGAGGGAAGGGAGTGGGTCACGCTGGAAAGATCATCCCCAAAGCCTCTCTGGGGGATTACTCTTCAGCAGAGGTGGCGTCCAAGCCCAAGGGACAGAATCCCCTTAGTGCTGCCCATCCCACCCCCGTCCGCCTTGGCCAGACAGAGCCTGGGGCTGGCCCGTGTCCCACTGCATCTTGGTGCAGAGTCGGTAAGCCCTTTCCACACCCACGGACCCCCGGGAGGTCTGATGTCTGGCCGCGAGGAGGGCAGAGCCTGGCCCTCAGGCCCACTTTCTGGAGACAGTGGGTGCCTCAGGCCCAGTGGCACCCGAGTGTGGAGCAGGCTGAGGCGGGCAGCTGGCCTGTCCTCGAGCCCTGGGCTGAGCACCGGAGGGCGCACAGGAGGCGGTGAGGCCCCGTCCTCCCAGCTGCTAGGCTGGACTCTAGGAGTCGTGGTGCCTGAGCCAGCGGCCGCCGAGGGGACAGTTCACTGACCTGAGGTGGGTGAGCTTGAGCACCAGGCAGCCCCGGAGACCTGCTGATTCTTGTCAGCCCCACCCCCTGGCTGGGTCCTGGGGAAGCCCCTTCAAGGCCCTACAGCCAGGAGACCGAGGCCAGGAGAAGGGAGTGCCAGCATCTCCCAGCGGTCCCTGTCCCCCCGCCCCCTGCCTGTGCCAGGTAGGGGAGGCCCAGGCCAGGGCCACCGGGAGGGCTGCAGTGGAGGGTCACCAGGGCTGGCTTCTGGGGGAGGTGAGCACTGGGCGGTCTGGGTCGGGGACAGGCTGAGGAGTCTGATGGAGGAGATGGTGCCCAGCGTCCAGGGCAGAGGCTGTGGCCAGGAGCGTCCAGCTTTGGAGCCAACTTTGGGTGAGGAATTCAGGATGGGGGTGGCAGAGGGGATGCCTAGGGGAGAGGGAGTAGGTCTCAAGGTCAGAATCACCTTGCCAGAGGTGCTTGGCTTTGGGAGGTAGGTGAGTTGGCCCCAGGAGGCCACCAGGAGCAGTCCTGGGGGCCTCTCAGGGAGGACACCTGGAGCAGGCTGAGCTGCTGACGTGTGCTTCCCTGGTTCACGTGGACGGCACTGGGGCAGGTGCTTGGGGTGGCCCTCGTGTCAAGGAGGCCCTGGCTGGCCCCCGCAGACTCTGCTCTGCCCTCTAAACTGCCCCTGCACCCCTTCTGGACGATCAGGGGTTGGTGGCAGAATGAGGTGTGGGCCCTGCCCCCCTCTCTCTTCATACCACCCCTCCCCCATGGTCCCCCACTGCAGTGTCCTTGTTGTGGGTCAGGCCAGCCACCGTGGGGCCTCTGAGTCCAGGAGAGGCTGGAGCACGGAGGCCGGTGCTCAGGTCGAGGGCTATGGCCCCCACCAGCCCCATCCGTTACCGTCTCCTCCAGGGCCCGCCCTGGCATCTCTGCTGAGCTGAGTGACCTTGGTTGGGGGCAGGGCTGATGGAGAGCCTCTGTCCACCCCCATCCTGACCCCGCTGTGCCCTCAGGTCTCTGGATGAGGAAGGAGGCCCTGCCCTGGAACTGGTCACTACAAGATGGTGCTGGAGGGACTGGGCAGGTGGGGAGTGTCAGAGAGGGCTCCGTGGTTGTGGCTGACTCTGGGGGAATGCGAGACTGGGCACTCACCTGTGAGAACTGAGACGCCCGGCGGTGTGGTGACGTCGGGACTTGGGTCCTGGGCCACCCTCTCGTGGGCTGGGGCCATCCTGTCCAGGCAGAGAACGAGTGTGCAGGCCCCATCATTCCCACTTGCGTCCTGGAGGCGGGCCTGGGTGTCTTGTGGCGTACCACCTGGCAGGTCCACAGGGTCACGGACTGTCACCTGGGCCAGGGCTGGACAATGCCCCTGGGTGGCCACTTCTGCTGGCCTCTCCTGAGCTGGGCCCCAGGCCTGCAGCTCCTCACGTGGTAGGGGACCTGTGAGGGAGATGGGTGACTGGCCTCAGGGAGGGGGTCCCGGGGGCCTGGGAAGAGTTAGAATTGCTCAGGGCTGAAGTACCTGTGTGTGTGCCTGTGTGCACGTGTGCAAGGAGGCTGGGTGGCAGGGTGTGCTCAGGATGTGTGAGCCATGTGCATGTGAGCGTACAGCGGTGGGGTCTGAGAGGCATCACACATGCATGTGTGTGCACGTGTGCATCACTTGGAGAGGTTATATGTGCCCCTGCGCGGATGGCTGGGCAGCAGGTTGGGGAGGCCTCTCCCTGAAGCCCCCCAACCCTTTGATCCTCCCTCTGGGCTCTGCCCGACTTGCCTAGCCGCCCCCGCCTGCCCTTGGGAGTGAGCAGCGTGTCCCAGATGATCAGAGGTTTCCCAGCCGCTCCCACGGCTGACCCAGGAGCAGCCTCCAGGATGGGAGCAGCACTGGCCTATTGGTGCTGGGGAGGGGGGGTCACACGGGGAGGGGCTGGGTGGTAGCTGCAGGGTGAGAGGAACTGGCCCTGGCATCTTGGAAAATCCCTGTGGCCAGCTCCAGTGGCCGGGAGGGCTGGCTGGGCCAGGCCTTGGTGGGCTTTCCAGGTGCGCACAGTCAAGGTGTGCGAGTGTGACTGGGGCCTTGCCAGCTCTGGGGCCCAGGGGTCTGGGGTTGGTAGTGTGGTGGTATGGGAGAGGATGGGGGCTCCGGTGGGGTGGTGCCTCTGCCTCTTGGGCCTTGCCTCACCAGGAAGGGCACCTGAGGCCACCTGTGTCTTCCTAGTCCCGCAGCGTGGACAAGCAGCATGCCGTCATCAACTACGACCAGGAAAGGGACGAACACTGGGTAAAGGACCTGGGCAGCCTGAACGGGGTGAGTGCGCCCAGCCCCTCTGTGCCGGCCCCACCCCTGTCCGTGACCCCGCCCTTTGTGCTGGCCCTGCCCCTCTGCATGTCCTTCCCTCCCGTGACGGCCCCCGACCCTCCATACCCCCTTTCTCTGTGCCAGCCCCGCCCCTCTCCGTGCCCTGCCTCTGTGCCAGCCCCGCCCTTCTCCATGCCCCTCCATCTGTTCCGGCCCCACCCATCTCCGTGCCCCTCCCTCCTGTGCCAGCCCCGCCCATCTCCATGCGCCTCCCTCTGTGCAGGCCCTGCCCCTCTCCATGCCCCTTCCCGGTGCCTACCCGGCCCCTCCATATCCCCTCCACCTGTATGGGTGTCCTCTTTTTTTTCTGTATTTGGTGGACAGCAGCCTGCTCTGCAACACTGTTCCAATAAGAAAGAAAAACCACCAGCCTCGGTTCCCTTGTGCCAGAGCCAAGGAGGGCTCTTCCCCTGCCCTCTCCAGCCTGTGCAGTCTGCTCCCCTATCCTGAGCTGGGGGTCCCACTGCAGCCTCAGGCTGGCCCTGCCTCCACCTGGGAGCGCTCCCCAAGTGCTGGGCACCACCCACTGGCTCCCCTCTCAGGGTGTTCCCAACTGGGGTCTCACTCTCTGCCTGTGAGCCCCTCCTCCCTCAGCCTTCTTTCAGAGGAGGTGACCCTACCCAAATGGGGCTGCAGGAGGCGCAGACCTGCCCTCTGCCACGTGGGTGACACTGAGGCGCTGGCCCAGACTGCATGGGCTTCCAGAGGGTCCCAGGACTGCTGGCCTGGTTCCTGCTCCTGGACCCTGCAGGGACACGGTTCTCAGAGGCCTGTGATGTCCACAGAGCTGGGCCAACTCCTGCCTGCCCGTGTGACACCAGGCTCAGCCAGGGACACAGGCTGGCAGGGCTGGTCTACAGAGACTCGCTGCTGTCCGCACGCCAGGCCTGGTAGCCTCTGCTGCTTGCTCAGAGCCCAGGACGCTGTGTCCAAAACCAAGTTTGTATCTCGAGCCCGCGCCCAGGCTCTGCTCCATGTTTCTAGTCACGTTTGCTGCCCTCCCATCTGCGCACAGGCAGCCCCCCAGGCCTGGGCCGCCTCCCTGGGGAGCCATCCTCCTTCTGGTCCCCTCAGTCCCTCCTCATGTTCCTTGTTTCTTCTACCAGACTCTGGGCACAATTGCCATGCCTGGGACACAGCTGTCTTCCCTCTGTCACCCTGGCCTGCCCCAGAAGCCCTCAGAGTGCACTGGGGTCTTTCCTTCATCCGACCACAGCATGGTGGCCGGTGGCCGGCTGACTAGAAGCCCCTGATGAAGGGAAGAGGGTTTCCAGGGACTGGCGCTTCCCCTGCGAGCAGGCAGCCTGCATGGAGGCGTTGTCAGACAGCCTCACACAGCCTGACCCGCCTTGCAATGGGGCCACACTGTGGACATGCCTCGGCCACTCCAGGGGGAATTGTGAGGTCGGGCAGGGGGGAGCTGGGGCCAGCATGAGGCATTGTGTGGAGGAGAATGGGTCCGTTTCACAAAGACGCCCAAGGGTTTTGTGCTTGAAGGGCTGTGTCAGGGGCCCTGGGCGCTGGGCGAGCCCTGGTGCCTCAGCTCCCCTCGGCCAGTCCTTCAAGGCTGTCTGTCTTCTGGTCCCTTCCCGGCTAGGGGCTGGGCACACACGTGCTGGAGGGACAGTGCCGGGCCCAGAGCACAGAAGGAGAGCCCGGGTTGTCCGTTTGCTGGGGACCCCAGAGTTGTGCCTCACCTGCCATCGGCTCAGTTCCGCCCTGTTTTCTCCGCAGACATTTGTGAATGACGTGCGCATCCCGGATCAGAAGTACGTCACGCTGAAGCTCAACGATGTCATCCGATTCGGCTATGATATCCTTTCCCAGCAGCTCACCCTGCCTGGGGCCTCTCGCTTGGTCCCCCAGCCCCAGTCCTACTATCCCAGAAGCAGGTGGTGGCCTTGGAGGTCGCAGCTAGGGCCACAGAGGTCAGAGGGCTGTGAGGGTGAACCCCAGGCTGGGCTCCAGCCTGAACCCCAGCCCCTGCCACCTGCCCCTCTAATCTGAGGTCCCAGCCACTGGCACCTACTGTCCGCCTGGCCTGAGCTCTCACAGGGCCTGAGGAACGGGTGACCTCTCTCTGGGACCCGGAGTCCCCACGTGACCCAGGGGCTGCCCAGATCATGGGTGGGTGGGGGCTGTGCCTCTGCCCTGGACTCCAGGGCGCACAGCAGGAGTGCATCCTCTCCTCCTCCCACCTTGGCCCCATTCCCATTGGCACACCCACCCATGGGCCCTCCCCACTCCTGGAACCTTGGGAGGCCAGGGGCTGAGGGGTGGTCTGAGAGGGGAGCTGGGAGCTGGATGTGCCATGGCCTCCAGGGCCCCCCTGGCTCCTGGGCACGTCACCCGTGGTGCTTTGGGCTGTGAGCTGAGGGGTGGAGAGTGTGCCCGTGGCCTGAGGGCATGTGCATGCTGTGACCTGGAGCGGCCCCTGTCCTGCCCCTCTGAGTGGGCGCAGCACGGGCTGCAGGCCGCTTCTGCAGTGTAGACACTTGCTGGGTGCCCAGAGGCCCAGGCCTACACGGGGCAGGTGGTAGTGTGGGTGTGGGAGATCGTGCTTGCAGGTGTCCACACTGGGGTGGGCAGCACAGACGCCTCGCGTGCCCCTCCTTGATCTGCCTCCCTGGGAGTGGCCCTTTCATCTCTTTGGCTGAGGACACCTGCACTGCATGGCCCGAGGCCGCTGTCTGAGGCCCTGCCCGGCTCTTCCTGCTCCCTGTTCTCCTTAACGCGCTGCCACATTCCAACATGTACGTGCTGGAGCGCGTGCAGCACCGTGTCCCCGAGGAGGCGCTCAGGGTCAGTGCTGACCCCCGGGCCCCGCATCCCCGCAGCCCTCTGCTTCCCACTGGCCGGCCCACCCTGGCCCACACTCCAGGCCTCTCGGCTGCCTGGGTGGCTGTGGCTGCGCTGCTGTGAGTCAGCCCGGCCCAGCCTGCTCTGCCGGACGGCCCAGTCTGGCAGGTGGGGAGGTAGTCATTCCCCCCCGAGGCTGATGCACCCACAGATGGTGGGCGTGGCAGCGGCCCCAGCAGAGGCTGCTGTGCTCAGCAAGAGGGGTGGCTGAGAAGACCCACCTGACATCTTGGGTACTGGGGAGGACCCTGGTCAGGCCCCCTGGGTGGGGGTGGCCAAGAACAGGCAGGACGGGGTGTCTGCAGGCTGGCGGCAGCAACCTTGTGGGAGGTCCTCAGTGATCGGGGCCCCTGGGTACCCTTCCTCCTTGAGGGCACAAAGGTCCCGGGTGGGGCATCTCCCCTTGCTCGTTTGGAGGAGTCATGGAACACAGACTCAGGGACCCTACCCACAGCTTTACCCGGGAGCCCCATGTGAGACGGGCAGGCCTTAGCCCCATCTTACAAATGAACCTCGGGTGGCGCAGGGAACATGAGTGGCCTTCCAAGAGTCACACGCCAGTGAGGGCAAGGCCAGGTTGAGCCTGACTCTGATGACTGCAGAGCTCGGCCAGTTCGGGCCCACAGCTGCTGCTGTATCTGGCACACATGCACACACGCATGTACACGAAAGCCCACACGTGCACACATACATACATGCACGAGTGCACACATGCATATGGGCACTCTGCTCAGACAGGCCACCGCTCCCCACCCGCCAGCTCCTGACCCCTTCTTCCCCGTGGGGGCTGGGGTGACCGTCTCCCCCAGATGCTTGCTGCCCACTCCTCACCCCCCAAACAAGCACAGCTCCCTCCCAGAGGCTTCGTGGTCCTGAGGAAGCCCCCAGGCTTGGGCGTGGACCCCCACCTTAGCTGCTGACCTGGGCAGGTGTCCGGCTGTCTGCTCTGCGGGGGTCCTGAGGAGTCAGCGCCGGGCCCACTCTTGATGGAGAAGAGAGGCGGTGGCCCTGGGTGGGGATGTCTTCCTGAGGTGTCGCCCCTGCCCCCTGCCCTGTGCCCACAGCACGAGAAGTACACCAGCCAACTGCAGGTGAGCGTCAGGGGCCCAGTACCCAAGCGGGGTGAGGCGCAGCCAGAGCACACGCCGTACTGCGAGGCCTCGACCCCCAGGCCGGAGCGGGGTGACCGGAGACCAGGAGCAGGTGGGACGGCATGCCAGCTGGGCATGCAGGCCTGCACCCCACCCCCACCCCCGGGGCCCACACCCCTTGCCCCACTTCTCAGGGCCTCCTGGGCTCACGCCCCCAACAGCCGCCAGAGCACAAACCTGCTCTTGTGTGAGCTCAGACACCTGTGCACGTCTGCACCTCCTCACCCCTGTAGACATGCTCACTTATGCCCCCCTGCACCCCTGTAGATGCTCCCCCACATGCACACCTGTGCCCCTGCACTCCCTGTGATCCAGTTGGACTTTGGGCACTCAGCCCCCAGGGTCACCCGTTTGTGGCCAGAAATATTTACAGAGCCTTGGAGGGGGGCCGAGGCTCAGCTTGGGTGTGGGCTCACTGCTGGCCTCCTGCCTCTCAGTTGGGCAGGCTCTGGGGCAAAGGGCCAGGAGCAGGGCTGGAGGGACTGCCTACCCCAGGTTGGGGGCACTGAGGACAGTGCCACCCCAGGGAACAGCCAACCTGCAGGGAGGCCCAGGCAGGGACAGGGGGAGGTGGAGGGTGAGTGTCCACGGGACTCTCTGCACTTGTCAGCCCCCCATCGATGCAGAAATGGGGCTCAGAGTGCTTAGTGGCTGACCAGAGTCCTGGGTTGCTGTAGGTTGGAGCTGGCAGGTGATGCCAGGCTCCCTCCAGAGCCCAGCGTCCCCTCCAGTTCCAGGTTTCCCCTCCTGTCTGTGTTGGGGCCATGGCGACCCAGGGTCAAACTCTCTCTCCCCCTGCAGAGGCAGCGACCTACCGCACGCCCCTGTACGGGCAGCCCTCCTGGTGGGGTGAGGATGATGGTGGCACCTCACCCGAGGACCGGCGCCAGGAGGAGCCCTACCCAGGTAGGTCCTGGGGGCCTGCCCGTGAGACCCCCAAACTCCCCGAGGGTAGCCTGGCAGTGTCAGCTCATGGGGAGACGGAGCCAGCGGTCCCCGCAGAGGTGGGTGGGGTGAGGGTGCCGCCCTGTGGCAGCCTGAGGACGTCTCCCCCCACCAGAGCGGCCCAAGGAGCTAACGCAGCAGGATGGGGAGCTCACTGGGACGTTGGCCGGCTTCCGGTCCACCACGGAGCCTCAGGGCTACTCGTTCCGGCGGGAGCCCAGCTACTTCGAGATCCCCACGAAGGAGGCCCCGCAGCCACCAAGGCCCCCCGAGGTGCCGGTGCACGAAGCACCCACCAAGGACGTGGAGCCCGGCGGGGGCGGGGTGGCCCCCGTGGTGCAGAGCCACGCGTCCTTCACCATCGAGTTTGACGACTGCAGCCCGGGCAAGGTGAAGATCAAGGACCACGTCACCAAGTTCTCCCTGCGCCAGCGGCGGCCCCAGGGCAAGGAGGCCACGCCTGTCGAGGTGGTCTCTGCCGAGACCAAGGTGGCCGACTGGCTGGTGCAGAACGACCCCAGCCTGCTGCGCCGGGCCGGCCCCGGAGACGACCGCCACAGCACCAAGAGCGACCTGCCTGTCCACACCCGCACCCTGAAGGGTGAGTGCCTGGCTGGTTGGCCCCCTGGGCGGCCTGTGACCACACATCTGCCCAGGTCTGCCCGCTTGCCTCGCCCGTGGGAGGCCCTAATCAGCTTGATTGATTTCTGTTTTTCTCTTAATTGCCTGAGAATCGCCTGCCCAGTTGGGACAGTCCAGTGTGTTCTCGTGGCTCATCTCGACCTCGTGTGCTGGGTTCCATGTGGTGTGGGGTGCTGTGTCCCCAACCACATGTGACAGCTGTGGTTGTGTGTGTCATCCCCCTCGGGCACGGGGTGAGGAGGCCCCCCAGCATCGCTCTGTTTCCTTTCCCTTGGCCTTATGAGTTGGGGTCCCTCCTGCCCCCAGGCCACAAGCACGAGGATGGCACACAGAGCGATTCGGAGGACCCCGCGGCCAAGGCAGCCGCAGAGAGCACCGGGGAGCAGGTGCGGCTGCAGAGGCAGATCAAGCGGGATCCCCAGGAGCTGTTGCACAACCAGCAGGCCTTCGTCATCGAGTTCTTTGATGAGGACACACCCCGCAAGAAACGCTCCCAGTCCTTCACGCATGCCCCGCCCGGGGACCCCAAGGCCGACAAGCGCCGAGGCCCTGGGCCCCCCGACAGGGACCGCACGGGGGCACCAGCCCCAGCCCGGGGGGCGGGCGGCAGCTCAGGGCCTCAGCGAGCCGGCTCGCTCAAGCGGGAGAAGACGGAGGAGCGGCTGGGCAGTCCCTCGCCCGCCACCCGGGCCCCTGCTCGCCCCTTCGGCAGCGTGGGGCGCCGCTCCCGCCTGGCCCAGGACTTCATGGCCCAGTGCCTGCGGGACAGCTCCCCGGCCACCCGGCCTGCCCCCGAGAAGGCACCCCCAGCACTGCCCACCCCCCTGACGCCCCGTGGGGCCAGCCCGGTGGCCCCCTCGACCCCGCCTCCACCGCCTGCTGACCCCCAGCTGAGCAAAACGCGCAAGCAGGAGGAGGATGACAGTCTCAGTGATGCAGGGACGTACACCATCGAGACGGAGACGCAGGACCAGGAGGTGGAGGAGGCCCGCAAGATGATCGACCAGGTGCCGTGGGGGTGGGGTCCGCCTCGGGCGTGGGCTGCCCACTCTGGCCCTACCTCTTGCTTTCCCAGGGCTGGGGCTGTTTTCCCACCCAATGCATGAACTGGACAGCCAGGCTGCATGTCCCAGCCACTGGCCACTCTGGCCAACCAGGGCCCCTGTTTTCCCAGTGTCTGGGGATGGAGCCTGTGTTTGAGTGGAGGGAGGGGTCTGGGCGCTCTGACCTCTGGTGCCTTACCATCCCTTCCGGTAGGTCTTCGGGGTACTTGAGTCCCCTGAACTCTCCAGGGTGTCCTCGGCCACCTTCCGTCCAGTCATCAGAGGGGACAGAGACGAGTCTGGTGATGGAGTGGTCCAGCGGATGGCCCTGCTGCAGGAGTTTGCGTCCCGGCCAGTGGGCGTGGTCCCCCAGGGGGAGCTCCAGGTGGGCAAGACGGAGCCCGGACACCGCCCTGTGGATGGGCCGGGCAGGGGAAGGACAGCGTCGGGCTGGGGCCCCGGTCATCGGGTCCTCTGTGCATGGAAGGCTCTGGTCCTGCCTGGAGGCGGACTCCAGATGAGGCTGGGCTGGACCTTTTCCTAAGGCGCATGTCCTCTGCCAGGCCCCGAGTTGGCTCGGGGGCCTGGGTGTGTGCTGCCCACAGGCGGGGCTGGGCTGAGTCCGACGGGCCAGGCAGAGCCGCAGGGACTGACCTCTGAGCTGCTGAACCAGGCTCATTTGGGGTCCCACAAGCCCAGCAAGGCAACAGCAGGCCTGCTCGCTGTTTCTGCAGGGGGCGCCTATTGCAGGCCTGGGGCTGGCAAGCATGGATTCAGGCGTTGGGGTGGGCTGCCTTTCATGCTCCCTCCTGCCCCTGGCACCTCCACGAGGGGCCTGTGTCACAGATGCATTTTGCTGTTTTCTCTGCAGGGCCTCCCATTGCCAGGCTCCCCCGGGGGTCAGAAGTGGGTGTCCCGCTGGGCCAGCCTGGCTGACAGCTATTCGGACCCAGGCCTGGCAGGTAAGCGACTCCAGTGCTGGATGGGGAGTGGCTAGGGTGGCCTAAGGCCAACGACTGGGGGTGCTGGTGGAGCACACACCAGCCATGCCTGTAGGAGGGCCTGCAGGCCAGCGACCACTCTAACCGGGCTACCCTTGTCTTCACAGACGACGGCCCTGGGCGCAGAGCTGGGGAGCTCGAGGGGGCCCTTCCTGTGCGCCAGCGGCGACTACTCCCACAGCTGCCCAGCGACAGGGCGGACAGCCCCGCTGGCCCCGAGGCTGCCAGGAAGAGTGGGCCTGGGCCGCCAGAGCCAGGCAGTGAACAGGCCAGCCGCCTCTTGGGCCAGGAGGACCTGGAACCCGACAGCCTCAGTGATGCCAGTGGGTCAGACGGGGGACGAGGCCCTGAGCCGGGCGGAGGTCTGCAGGAGGAGAGACGCAGGAGCCCACAGGAGGGACTGGCATGGACGAGGGGCCGGCGCTCGCCGAGGGCCCCCGGGGAGCTGGCCCCCACCTCTTTCTTCATCGGGGACCAAAACGGAGAGGCCACTTTCCCCAGGAAACCATCTGTGGCTCCAGGGGAGGTCGAGGGCCCGGGACAGGCAGCCCAGCCCAGTCTCCCAGCGAGGGATGGTGTCTACGTGAGCTCCAGCGGGAGAATGGTCATCCAGCTGCGGCCAGGGCGGTCCCCAGAGCCCGAGGGCCCCGCCCCAGCCCCACCCAAGGAGGCTCTGGCCTTCATCCGGCAAGAGAGCTTCACCAAGGAGCCAGCCAGTGGCCCCCCAGCACCTGGTCAACTCCCGCACATCTCTAGCCACCCCCTCCTGCAGGACCTGGCCGCAGCCCGGGCCTCACGCATGGACCTCCACTCCCAGGACACCCACCTGATCTTGAAGGAGACAGAGACAGCCCTGGCAGCCCTGGAGGCCCGCCTGCTCTCCAAGTCCACAGAAGAGGCGGAGGGTGAGGTTGGCAGTGCCCCTGGTCCACCAGAGGACTCCCTGTCTGGGGACTCCGACGTGGACACGGCTAGTACCGTCAGCCTGCTCAGTGGCAAGAACGGGCCCAGCCCGACCAGCCCCCAGCCCACGGGGCTGCAGAAGGAGAAGCCACCATCCCCGCCAGCAGCACAAGACCCAGGGAGCAGCGCCCGGGAGCGACTCTCAGAGAAGCAGCGCCACCCATCAGGCCCGACGGATGTGGGCCGCGGAGAGCCAGCACGGCGCCTGGCCGTGCGGCGTGGCTGCGGTCCCCGGGGGTCCTTGGACTGGCCTGATGAAGAACGAGGCTCTGGTCTCACCCACCCACCCAGCTCAGACACGGTCACCTCTGACCACGAGACCCCTGCAGCCACTGGGGCAGGTCGGCCGGGGCCTCGCCGAAAACCCACAGCGCCGCCGCCGTCCCCGGCTGCCCGGGATGAGCAGAGCCGCCCCTCAGCCGGCGCTCAGAAGGTGCAGCAAGCACTGACCCGCTCCAACAGCCTGTCCACCCCTCGGCCCACGCGTGCCTCCCGGCTGAGACGGGCCCGGCTGGGGGATGCCTCGGACACTGAGGCCACGGATGGTGAACGGGGACCCCTGGTCAACCCCGAGCCAGCGGGGCGGCCGGCCGCTGATCAGGCCAAGAAGCTGTCGCGCCTGGACATCCTGGCCATGCCCCGGAAGCGGGCCGGCTCCTTCACGGGGCCCAGCGACTCAGAGGCAGCTGCCACCCGCACTGGCTTCTCCGGCCGCAGCGTCGAGTTGTACTGTGCCGGCCGCAAGCCCACCATGGCCGAGGCCCGAGCTGCCGCCAGAAAGGCCGCTGCCACTGCCACGGCTGCCCGCCAGCCCTTCAGCAGGGCCCGCCCGGGCAGTGCCCGGTACTCCTCACCCAGTGAGTGTTGGGAGCGGGCGGGTAGCCCTGAGCCTCCTCGGCCCGGGCAGTGGGGTCTGCAGCTTCCTGTGTGGCAGCCCAGTGCCGGGCTGCAGGGCCTCCAGCATCCACAGCCCCCAGGCTGTCCTGGCGTGAGGGCCTCCACCATGTCCAGGGTGGAGCGGCTGCTCCCGTCTCCTAGCTGGGCCTGCCTGCTCTTCCCTGGAGATCCAGACACCAGCTGGGAGCCCGATGGCTTGTGAGGCACATGTGCAGGCCCAAGCTGTCCACTCTTAGGCTGGGTGCCTGGGGAGGGCCATCCACCCCAGGCTGCTGGGGTTGTGCAGCTCCATCAGGGACCCTCTGTGAGCCCAGATCTGTGGCCAGAAGAGGGCTATGTCAGTGTCTCCCACCCCTCTGCGAGCAGAGGCCCCGTGGAACCTGCGATCCATGCGTATCGCAAGGAAGGAGCCGTGGCCACCAGCGTTGGTGTCCTGCCTAGGGGGGCTGGATGTCCACATCCACTCAGGCAGCCTCGCCCTGCTGGGGAGCCACCTGTCCTCTGAGTGAATTTGGCCCAGCTCCTTGCTGCTGCTTCTGCCACTCACCTGACACCCCCGCGGGGCCCCTCCCTGCCCACTGGGTCTGCTGGGGGCAAGGACTGTGGAGGGACAGGCTCACTGGAGGATGGGATGGAGCGGGACAGCATGGCTGCGGGCTGAGGACCACACTTGCTTGGCAGGAACCTGCTGCCCGCCTGTCCCTCCTCATTTGCAGCCGCCCCAGGAGCTCAGAGCAGGGAGGGCGAGGAGTCAGGTCGGAGAAGGCCAGGCAGGTGCAGGGAGAGGTCGTGAGGGCCGAGCTCAGGCTCCAACCACAGGCCGTGCTCGGCCACTCATACGGTCTGGCCCAGGGCCAGGGTCGACCCACATGGTGGGGGTTTACCCCTATTCGGGGTGTCTCAGGACACCACTTCCCTGCCACCAAGGGCGCTGGTTCCCATCTGATGCACATGGCCCCCGCCCACTGGCCCACCAACCACAGCTCTGGGCTACTCCCCAAGGGGCTATGGAAATGCCGGGCTGCGTGTCCCTACATGTGCCTCTTGGCTGGTGGTGGCCTTCTGGTCCCCGGAGCTCAGCAGCTGCTGGCACTTCAGCTGAAGGGCTTCTGGGTGCAGGGGCGCCAGCTGCAGTGTGGCTTGTCCTGCAGCGCTGGGCCTTTGGGGGACCCTGGGGCTGCCCCAGGGTGCTGAATGCTACTGTGGTCTATTCTTGCTTCCGCAAATGATCCGTTCACTGCAGGTACACGTCGCCGGCAGCAGGGCTCGGACTGCACATCCACCTCCGAGGAAGAGTATGGCTCCCACCACGGCTCCCCCAAGCACACACATTCCCAGGCCTCTACAGCCACGCAGACCCCACGGGCTGGCGGCTCTGGACGGCCCCGGCCCCGGGCCCCTGGCCTCCGGGACACAGATGATGAGGAAGAAGAGCCTGACCCCTATGGTTTCATTGTGCAGACAGCCGAGATTGCTGAGATTGCCAGGTGAGTGGCGCCAGTTGACAGCACAAGCCGTTGATCCTCTGGGTGCCTGCCCCTGGAGCCGAGAGCCCCTGAGGGCAGGAACTTGGCTGGGGCTCTCTTCCTAAATAGGCTTGGAAAATGTTTATCAGATGGATGGATGGTTGGATGGATAGATGGATGATGGATGGTTGGGTGGATGATGATTGGATGGTTGGAGAGTTCGATGGTGGGATAGATGATGGATGGGTGGATAGATGATAGGAAGGATGGAAGATGGGTAGATGGATGCTTGGGAGCATGGATGATGGAAAGAGGAAGAGTGAGTGAATGGATGATGGATGGATGGTTGGATGGATGGGTGGCTGGGAGGATGGATGGACAGATGATAGGTGGATGAATGGGTGGGTAGATGGATGGAGAATGGATGAATGGATGGGTAGATAGGTGGATGGGTGGCTGCGAGGATGGACAGGTGGATGGATGGACAGATGATGGATGAATGGACAGATGACGGGTGGATGAATGGGTGGATGGATGGAGAATGGATGAATGGATGGGTAGATAGGTGGATGGGTGGCTGCGAGGATGGACAGGTGGATGGATGGGCAGATGATGGATGAATGGACAGATGGTGGGTGGATGAATGGGTGGGTGGATGGATGGAGAATGGATGAATGGATGGGTAGATAGGTGGATGGGTGGATGGTGGATGGATGGGTAGATGGATGGAAGGGTGGATAAATGGATGAATGCAGATCTGCCTGAGGGTGAATGAGGGTGGGGGACCTCTGGTACAAGGAAGGCCTCCACCAAAATTTTTAAAGGTGAACTCTCTCCTGTGGTCATTCAGTGGAAGAGTCACCTCCGGGCCAGGTGTAGGGGAGGATGGTGCAGAGAAGTGGGCAGGAGGAGTCCTGGGGCTGGGTGGATGGCAAGTGTTTGGTGTTGAGGATGCTGAGCTTGAGCCCATGAGGCACCTGGAAGGAGGTGACCAGAGGCAGTGGCTCCTAGGAGAGTGGCCCATGTGGGGGATGGAGACATGGGTATCGTCAGCATGAAGACGGCGACTGAGGTGGTAGAGCACATGAGCTTGTGCAGAGGACGTGGATGGCGCGAAGGGAAGGAGGCCTGGGACCGAGCCCTCAGGACGCCTGAGGAGGGGTTGGAGGGCAGTCACCTGTGAGAACGGTGGCGAGGAGGGGCTGAGGAGCCAGCCGAGAAGGCAAGGGTGGGGTTCTGGAAGGAGATATGCACTTGGGTGAGAGAGATGAAGGTGGTGGAGGTGGGGAGAGAGGAAGTGGGGAGTGGAGGCCCCTCTGGGCTTCCTGAGGTCCCTGCTTTCAACCTGGGCGGGCTTGAGCCCACCAACCTGCTGAGCGCAGGAGCAGAGAGAGGACCGAGGGGGCTGGGTGGGCACTGAGGCAGGGGCACATGTCGGTTGGGTATCACCGGGAGTTTGAGGGACGTTCTTCTGTGTTTGCGACGTAGGGAGGGTGGGACCAAGTTGGGGACCCCCATCTTGAGGGGGCTGAGGGCAGCGCTGGTGGGGGCAGAGCTCGGGTGGCTGTGCCAGACAGAGGCTGGAGGTGCCGCTGGGAGTGGGTGCGCCTTGAGGGCCAGCTGGGAGGCACCTGGGTGGAGCTGGGACAGCTGAGGGCAGAGACCTGGTCCTCGGTGGGCCCCCGGCTCCCCCGTTGGTTGGGTGACTACAGGCATTGAAGTGCCAAGGAAACCTGAGGGTGAGGGGACCAGGCTGGTACTGGGGGCTCAGCCTTCCTTGGCCTCTCTGCCCTGTGGGGAGGTCCTCAGCCTCTCTGGGTCTGCCTGCCACACCGTCTGGCCTATTCTGATCCTTGTCTGTGACCCCGCCCTCTCCCCTGCCTCAGTTTCCCTGCCTGCAGAGTGGAGCTTGTGTGGCCCATGGCTTCTATGGCAGCCCCAATGCCCAGCCCTGGTGGCCAGAGGAGGAGGTGGTGTGGCCTGCCTGGGAGGCTGTGGGTATCTCCGCACAGCCCTCTGCCTGGGCCCTGCCCCCAGCCCCACCCCCACCACCCCACCTTGGGGCATCAGGCACTTGAGCCTCTTGGTGGGGCCTCGTCAGTTCCGGCATTGCCAGTGACCAGCTGGGAGCAGTTTGGGCCAGGTTGGAGGCTGCATACGCCAGTCCCTGCCCCTCACCCAGCAGCTGCCTCCTGGGAGGGATTCCCGCCCCGACCTGGGAGGGAGCATCTGCCTGGGGAGGGGAACGCTGAGTCCTCTCTGGCTCCCCTCCCCAGCCTCCCCCGTGCTGGCGCTGAGCCAGGAGCACTCACAGGCTCTCCCTTCTTTCCTGCTGGCTGCAGGCTGAGCCAGACACTGGTGAAGGACGTGGCCATCCTGGCCCGGGAGATCCACGATGTGGCTGGGGACGGCGACTCGCTGGGCTCACCGGGGTCCGCCCGCAGCCCCTCCCTCAACAACGTACCCAGTACCCCCGCCTCCACCATCTCTGCCCGAGAGGAGGTGAGCCCGGCCCCCGCCCTGCCGAGGTGGCCCCCTGCGCTCCTCAGCAGAGACCGGTCACAGCCACAAGCCCTCACTGAGGCCCCTCGGTGCTTAGCTCCCCAGACGGACACCCCGAGAACTCGGGCGCAGGACCTGCCTCCATCAGGTCCAGGTACCCTGAGCAGAGGGGGCTTGGGGTCTGCACTGGCCACCTGCTGTCACAGCAGGGGAGGTGCAGCTCTCCACCTCCTGGGGGATGCCCCCACCAGGTGGGCCAACGCCGCCCCCTCCCTGTCTCCACAGCTGGTGCAGCGCATCCCTGAGGCCAGCCTCAACTTCCAGAAGGTGCCGCCTGGCTCCCTGAACTCCCGGGACTTGGACCAGAACATGAATGACCGTCGTGAGGACTCCCTGGCCACCAAGACGCGGCCTCGGAACCGCGAGGAGGCAGGCACCCCACCCACCGCTCTGAGAGCGGGCCCGGCCGTGAGCACACGGGGCCCCCTGGGCCGAGTCAGGGCTGCCGGGGGAGCGGGGTCTCCGTGCTGATGCCTGCCTCCTTGCAGGTGATCTTTGATAACCTGATGCTGAACCCCGTGTCCCAGCTGTCTCAGGCCATCCGTGAGAACACGGAGCACCTCGCCGAGAAGATGAAGTGAGTCGGGCACCTGCATGTCCTGCAGCCCGTGGGAGCCCCTGGGTGCCAAGGAGCACCCACCGCTCAGTGGACACCCCGCCAGACTCCCCTCAGACAGAGACATGAACACGTGTGTGCGAGCTGAGACTGTACCGTGGCTGATGTCCTCCGAGGGCACCCGGGCAGATGTGCACACACAGGCTTACACGGCTCCTGGCAGCCGGACCCTGAGCCTGGCAGAGCCCCCTCCGTCCCATTCCTCCCCTATCGGGCACAGGGACAGGGACTCTGGTACCGGCCAGCCCAGTCCTGCTCCTGGCCTGTTTCCCTTTGCGCGCAGGAGGGGGTGGCACGAGCTTCCCTGGGGCAGGCGGAGAGGGCTGGGTGCCATGCCCAGGTTCCATCGTCACCGTCATCTGCCTGCTGCCGCCCACCCCCCCTTGGCGGGCAGGATCCTCTTTCAGAACACGGGGCGTGCGTGGGAGGAGCTGGAAGCCAGGATCAACGCCGAGAACGAGGTGCCCATCCTGAAGACATCCAACAAGGTGAGGGCCGGGGGGCTGGGACACAGGGACCGGGATGAGATGGGACAGGAGGCCCCTGCCGGTCCCCGGGTCCTGCCCACTCAGCCTGCCTGGCTACAAGGAGGGAGTTGGGGGTCTGGCCCAAGCCTGGGACCCTGACTCCTGCCCCTCGAGCCCCCGGGGAGAGGTGACCCCCTTGGTGATCCTGCTTTATCTACCTCCTTCCTGCCCCGCTTCCAGGAGATCAGCTCCATCCTGAAGGAACTGAGGCGTGTGCAGAAGCAGCTGGAAGGTGGGTGTGGCCCGGGCTGTGGGTGCTGCACCGGGGCTGCCTGCATTGTTCAGGTGGAGGGGGAGCTGGTGGCGACCTTGGTGGGAGAGCTGACTCATACCCAGAGTTAACGGCCAGGAGACCCCTAGGTGGGCCTGGGAGGCCGTGCAGGACCCTCCAGCCAGCCTAACCCTCCCCGCCCCCATAGTCATCAACGCCATCGTGGACCCCAGCGGGAACCTGGACCTGCTGACGGCAAACAGGGGCTCTGCAGGCTCAGCCCAGCTCGGGAAAGGCCGGCCAGCTGCCCAGAGCCCATCGTCGCCCGCCTCGGCCCTGCCCCTGCCCCTGAGAAGCGTCCCGCCGCGGGCGAACTGCGGGGCCCCCGGCCTCTCGGACGCCACCTTCCTCCCCGACTTTCTCCCCGACGCGGAGCGGTTCCTGATCTAGGGGGCAGGCCGGCGGCCCCTCATCGCCCGTCTGTCCCTGCACCGGCCCCTCCTGGCTGCGGACAGCTCATCAGAGACCCCCACATGTGCCATAACCCCCTGGGCGGGCGCCTCCATGCCCAGGTCCCCCCCCCAGCTCCCAACCAGCACCCCAACCGGACTGTCCAGCCCCCGCGGCAGCCCTGCTGGCCTCCTGGCCCAGCTCCTGCTGTGGCCCCTGCCAAGGGCCAGCGTTGCAGGCGAGCGCCGCCTCCTCTCTGTCTCTGTTGTTCTCGTCTTTCGCTTTCAAGGAAAGAGTAGTTTGTGCCATGTGGCAGCCTCCCTGGCCCGGAAGGGCCCCCCCGACCCCCGGGGAGTGGCTGTTCTGCTGGGAGGCCCCATGAGCTTACCTGTCCTGTCCCCGTGTGCTGGACGGGGCAGGCAGAGGAAGAGGGGCTGGGCCGTGTGGTCATTCAGTGCCAAACGGAGCTGGGGGGCTCGTGACTCCCCCGGCTTGGGGACCAGGCAGGGAGCAAGCTGGGCAGGCCGCTTGCAGCCGCCCCAGAGTCCAGAACCTGGGACAGGGATGTGGCCTGTAGAGACGTTCAGGGCAGGACCCCCGCCGCTTTGAGCCTTTGGTGCCAACACAACTGCCAAACCCCGAATCGTGCGGGCTGCTGCGGGGCTGGCCACGCACACGCCAGACACACACACCCGTGCTCGCGGCCAGCCCAGCACATCTCCACGCATCAGGCACAGCCCTGCGAGCAGTGCGGGGCCTCTGTACCCGGCTTTGGGGGTTCTAGGCTGGGTGGGGTGAGCGCTAGACCAAAGTGGCCGGACACCAGGCTTCCAGAAGCTCCCTAGACACGCACCTTCTGCTGTGACCTCGCCCCTGGCCTCCCGGATGTTGTGGGCATTAATTGGGTGTCTGTACCCGGCTTGGGCCTTACAGGCCCCTTTGCTCCTGGTCCCGTGGGGGGCAGAGAGAGGCCCCAGGGACAGTCTTGTTTTCTCAGGATTCTTTCAGCTGGGAGCGTGCCGGGAGAGCCGAGTGCGGCCCCCTCCTGGGGGCTGATGTTTCTCGAGCCTCTAAGCCAAAGAGCCCGGTGGCTGTGGCCCGGGGGGTGGGGTGGGCCCACCTGGACCATCCTGGTGTGGGTGGGCTCTGCAGGACAGCACTGCCTGCTGGGGGACCCCAAGACAGCGTGTCCCTGTGTTTACATTGAGCTGACAAGGAGCCGAGCCCTTGGGTCCTGTGTCCCCACCCGGTGTTTACGTGTGTGTATGTGTGTGTGTGTGAGTGGCGGGGATCCCGCCCGGCCCCGCCCGCGAGCCTGCTGTGTCCGCACGGAGGAGGTGCTAGTCCAGGTCCGCCCCTGCATGCCGCACACTTGCCCGCAGCCTGCCCCCGGAAGCAGCCGTGGCCGTCCCTGTGTCCACGGCCTGCACCCACACCCCCTGGCGATCGCTGTACGGTTTTTTTTATTCACCAGTTCGTGTTCCTCCCCTCCAGTCTTTGACTTGGGATCGGTAACTTATTGTCTGGCTTCTCGGAGGCACCTCTGTGCGTTTGTCCTCAGGTGGTCTTATGGAGGTCTCAGAAAATGGTTATTTTATATGATTTGTCATGGAATTTGTTCTAATAAATCATTCTTCTATCACGTGGCAACATCCTGGCGTCGGTGTCCTTGGCCTCGTTTCTCTACTGGTGGGGTTTGGAGGGCGTGGGGATGCTTGGCCCGAGGGGTCTCCTTTTCTGGGTTGGAAAATCTGATTTGACCCCCGAGACCAGGGGACGCTGCAGTGCGGCATACTGCCACCAGGTGGCGGCCTAGGTGAGAAAGTGGAGCAGGGAACCTCCGAATGTTTGCGTCTCAAAGAGAAAAGCTGTTTTATTCAAGGAGGCTCACCCAGAGCGCTCTAACGTCCAGGCGGCAGCAGGAGGGCACAGCCCTGTGCCAAGACCCGGCTACTCCCATCCCGTCCCCCTTTTCATGGCCTCCAAAGGGTCTCTGACCTCACCCATCACGGGGGACTGCACACCACCGAGCACTCAGAGCCCTGTGCCTTCACACCCGGGCAGTCACGGCCCCACCTCCAGCTGCAGGGAGGACCCAGAGGGAGGGTGGACAAGTCCAGAGGGAGCAAGTGTCCAGCGCACTGGCACTCCACATGGCTGCCTGCCACCAGAGCCTGCTTGCTAGGTCCCCACCAGCAGCACAGGAAGCACTAGTATCCCAGCTCTGTTCCCCACGCCAGCTCTATTCCCCATGTAAAACTCTGTTCCCCATGCCTGCTCTGTTCCCCACGCCAGCTCTGTTCCCTACACAAGCTCAGCTCCCCACACCGGCTCTGTTCCCCGTGCCAGCTCTGTTCCCCTTGCTAGTTGGAGACCTTCAGGAGGCCACCTCTCCACTCCCTGCTCGGTCACCTCTCTGGTGCATGGCAGCCCCCCAGAGCCAGGCGGAAGCAGAGGAGGCGGGGGGCTGGCGAGTGGCACCCTCACACAGCCCCTCGGCCCGCCAGTCATCCTGAAGACCTACGAGCACCTGGCCCCGCCCACTCCAGCTGTGGAAACTCACTGGAGCCCACCTTCCCGGTTCCGAGGTGCAGGCCAGGCCAGTGGGGGAGGGAGGTCCCTGGAGGCGGAAGTGTGGCCGGGCTGGAGCGGCTGGCGGCCCTGGGATCTGTGTTATGCATGGAAGGGGTGGCGGAGATGCAAGGGGCTGGGGGTTCGCTGTTGGGCCTTTCCCTGGGGACCGGGGGCTGCTCTTCCCTTCTGGTTGGATCTGAGCAAGGAAGGTCTTGGGTTGGGTGAGGTCTTAGGGGCTGCCGAGGAGAAAGTGCTTGGGGATGTCGTGGAGGGGGACTGGACGGTGCTGGGAGGCAAGCGGGGACAGGAGACGTGGGCCTGGACCAGGGCAGGTGCCACGGTGGGGAGGGGACCCGGTCACCAAGACGACATCAGAGAGGGTGAGAGGGACAGCGGGTTTCTGGGCTAACGACCTGGAGGTGGGGCCAGACCTGGAGGTGGGGCCAGCCGAGCAGCAGGGGCGGTGTGGGTGGGCGGCGGCTGGGTGTGTGGCCCGGTTCCTGATCTCCCTACTTAGACCCAACAGGTGATTCATATCCAAAATATATACTAACTACTACAAGGCAGAGAGAACTAGGCAAGCAACACAGTCACAAACGATCAGAAGACTGAGCAGGCGCTGTCCAGGGCACAACCACGCAGCCAGACAACTGTGCAAAGATGCCCCACAGCATCTGTCATCAGAGATGCACAAATTAAACTGCAATGAGACACCCCGACACCCACCAGAGGAGCTAAAGCTGGATCCTTGTCAAAGCCGGTGAGAGGGTGGCAGTCAACTATTTTGGGAAAACTGGCAGAATTTATTGCAGCTCTGTGCATGGCGCACGTGAGGCTGCCATTCCCCTCCTGGATTCGCGCCCCGGGGCTGCCTCTCGGAGGAGGGTGTTGACTGAGAAGGCGGTTGAGGGACGGTCCCCCATCTTATCTAGATGGTGCTTACACAGGTGCACGCATGCGCAAAAATTCATCGCACCGTACACTTGAAAATCCACGCCCGCTGCACGTGTATATTATACTGCAAGGAGAATTAGAAAAAGTAACACAGAATAGAAAATGAATTTATTGGCATAAAATAGCTCATAATATGCTCTTGTTGTCTTTTAACTCTTGTAGGATCTTTTCCTGTGCCTTCATGCTCCCTCCTGATGTTGGTGACCATCAGTCTCTCTCTTGTGTTCAGCCTTCTGGGGTTTATCGATTTTGGTATTCCTTTCATAGAACCAACTTTTTGGTTTTGTTGATTTGCTCTGTTATACATTTTTTCCTGTTTTGTTCATTTCTGCTTATTTTTTATTTTCATTTGTTAGCTTTTTCCCTTTCTTCCCTGATTTAGTGTTACTTTCTTTCTTCCCTTCCTCCTTTCTTTCTTTAATTCCTGAGATGGACACCCGTTGATTTTCAGCATTTCTTCTTTTCTGATACATGGATTTAAGGCCACAGATTTCCTTCTGAACGTAAGCTTTAGCTGATCCCATAAAGACTGCTAGATCGTATTTTCATTATCTTTCAGGGAAGACAATTTCTAGAGTCCATTATGATTTCTTCCTTGGCCCATGAGTTACTTACATGTGTGTTGCTAAATTACCAAGCATTTGAGGATTTTCCAGTTATTCTTTTGTGGTCAGAACATATACTTAAAATTATTTCAATCATTTGAAAGGTATTATAGAGTATGCTTTACGGCCCAGAATGTAGACAATTTTGTTAAATGTTTCATGTACCCTTGAAAAGAAGATGTACACTTCCTTTTTTTTTTTTTTTTGAGATATATTCTCTTTTGTCAATTTGATCAGCTTTATTGTGTTCACATTTTCAAATATATCCATACTGATGTTTTGTCTACTGGCTCTACCAGTTACTGCAGGGCTGTGTTAAAGCCACTATGATTGTGGATTTATCTATTTCTCCTTTCAGTTCTGTCAGGTTTTCTTTATGTATTTTGAGGCTATGTTATTAGGTGCATACAAGTTAGAACCATTCTATTCCAGGCTGATGGGCCTTTTGTCATTATGAAGCCTTTGTTATCTCTCGTCATTTTTTCTCACCTTAAAGTCTACTTTGATATTAGCACAGGTATGCCAGCTTTTTTTCTGGCTGATGTTATAATCACTTATCCTTTTCCATCCTTTTACTTGAACTTTCGTGCATTTTGTTTTTAAAAATTCAGTTTGACAATATTTGTCTTTTCATCGGAATATTTTTAGTGCATTTATTACAGTTTTTAGGCTTAAATCTGCTATATTATGTCTGTTATTTGTTCCATTTTTCTTCCTTTTTATCTTTTTTAGGATTAATTGCATTTTTTTAATTGTTCTACATTCTCTGTTTACTTGTTACAATACTTACTTCCATTATACTCTTAGTGGTTAGTTAGAAAACTTATCCTTTACTTCTTACGGTCTCACATAAATTGTTCTATTTACTACCTCCTGGCCATTATAAAATAATTCACAATAAAAAAACTACCCCCACTTATTAGGGCCTCATGTAAATGTGTACTCTGACTGCTTCCTGGACTGCGCAAAGACCCTGTGCCACTTTCAACCCGTCTGCCTCTGCCACCACTTGAGCTGTCGTGGTCAGGCATTTTAATCCCGCACAGACTGTGAACCCCACAATAAACTGTTCTGTTAATTTCTACAGCCCAGACGCACCTAAACTCATCCGAGTGTCCTCTTCTGCTCCTCCTGCATTTCCATGTTCCCACCTGGGACCTTTTTCCAGAAGACCTCCGTTAGCAGTTTTGGTTTCTCGTGTGGTTTTGTTGTCACGACATCTCTCCGTTTCCTGGGTGCAGGTGTTTGAAAATGTTTTTCTTTTGCCTTTTCCTTTCATTTGATAGAGCATTCTGGGCCGGCAGGCGCCGTCTTGCGGCACTTACCCCCTAGCGCCCGCCGTCCTCTGGAGTTCACTGGTCGTGGGGAGAAGCCAAAAGCACTGTCATCCCTTCGAGATGGGGTCTGTTTTTCCTGGCTGTCTCGGATTGTCTGTGTTATTAGTTTTTCAGTGGTTTGACCATGCTGTGCCTAGGAGTATCTCTGTATTTATCTGGGTTGAATTTCCGGCACTTCTTGAATCTGGGGCTTGCTGTGTCTTTCATCAGCCTCGGAAATGTCTCCCCTTTTCTCTTCAGATATTGTTCTGCCCCATTTCCAGTCTCCCCTTTCTTGGGCTCAGGTTTTCTTTACACCCTGCCCTCTGCGCCCCTTGTACTCTTCTCCGTCTCTCTGTACATTTCCCCCTGAGCGTCAGTCCTTTATTCTCTGCTGACCCAAGTGGCCACTCAGAGTCCTCCCTCCGGGTCTGTCCAATTGTCCGTCAACCTGTCCACCGCTCTCCTCACTCTGGTTACTTTATTTTTAGTTCTGAAATTTCTATTTGATTTTTAAAAAAATATTTCATTTCTCCAAGTGAACATTTCCATCTTGTCATTTATTGTTCTGAACATATCGATCACAGTTATTTCACAGCTTGTGTTTGATACCTGGACCCCCTGCTTTTATACTTGGTTCTATTTTTTGACACGTCTGGTGACTCCTGATTTAAAACCACAGACGTTGTGAGTGAAAAAGGAGAGTCTCTGGATGGGGTCGTATTTCATCAGAGAGGACCACCCGCCTCCGCCACGGAGCGGGGGCTGACCCGTCAACCCACTTGGGGACGAGGCTGGCCTGAAGCTGGCTTTGGATGCAATGAGGTTTGTGCTACTTTCGTTTGCTTCTGGGGTGCAGCCCTCCAGGGTCCCGATAGGGGTCAGGCGAGCCTACTGGCACCTCCTCCTTTGAAGGAGATCCTGTTTCACTGATTCAGTGTTGTCTCCCCAGAACCGTAATGTTATTAATCTTTGCTCAACCTTCAGACACGTTATGTCCAGCCTCTCGGTCCTGTGCAGCACAAGAGTCGGCAGAAGCCTCAGAGGGAGACTGGCACCAAGTTCTCTTCTCTGCTCCCCTTTCTCTTAAGAATCCTGGTGGCCCCGGCAGGCCTGGGCTCCGGTGGACGCCCCTCGCTTTGTGAGTCTGCTGAGATGTGTCCTGGTTTCTCCGCCTCCTCACAGCCTCTCACCATCACTGCTTCATCT